TGTCATCTGTTAAGTACACTGTGGTGGGCACTACGCTGAACAGATGGTGGAAAGGAATCGACTATGCGCGCCACAGGTGGCGGTACTACCAACTACGATACTTTTAAGTTGTCCGTTAAATGCTTGTTCGATGAACAACTTTCGAGTGTTATGTCTGTTTGTCTGTGGATATAGTATCTCGAAACATAAGACCTCAGTAACGACATCTCTCGGGCTTCTCGCGGAAAACAAGCTTGCTCGCTAACTCGCAAACAACTCGCCAGCGCTGCGGCGAGTAGTTCGCGGAACTTATAATATTCAAATCAACCGTTAAATGCGTGAATGAAGATACACAATCAAGCGTTACGTCTATTTGTCTGTGGAAAAACAATGGTAAAAAGCTTAAGTTTTTTCGGGAAAAAATGATTTTTTGTACGGTTAAGATGCATAACAACCGAGATAACAACCCCTTTGTTCTATTTTAGATTTCCCCATTTACCATATATTCTATTGTGAAAACAATAAATTGTTCTTTTTTACGGGTGGCCCATAATACCGGGGTGACAGAATTTATATTAACAAATAAAGCGATTAACGAATCTTTAATGTGGAGGGGCTTAACATCAAACTCATGATGATGTGCTTGGTAAGCAAAACCGGTCGCTCTAGGGTCACCCCCTTATATCACATAATTCTAGATAGAGCAGGAATTAGGGCGTAACAGCTTTTGTAAACAATGACTTCTATCGCTGATTTCTAGGAATTCAAGGCACGTCCACGCAGACCAACATAACCATCGGATAGGGGAAGTCTTTCCCTACCCGATGAGGATGTTGGTTTGCGTGGATGAGCCTTAAATTTCTAGAAATCATCAAGAGAAGTCATTGTTTACAAAAGCTGTTAGGCCCTGATTCCAGCTCTATCTAGAATTCTATCTACGATTGCGTTGTTGTTGGTACCATTCAAACCCTGCCCCGAAGGTTACGTCGATGACCATGTCAAGTTTCACAAAACACAAGATAATCAAACGATGTTACCATAAGTCTCCTTAATATGATAGGACCAGGGATTAATCCCACGGTCTTCTGTATGACTGTCTAAGGCAACCTACTCCCTCACATTACAACAAACCACTTGTGATAAAGTTGATGCTATAATACACACTAACACTGGTAAAATTAAAAGTTTGTGTTGGTTCTTTTTGGTAGAAAGTCTTAGTATTCAAAACAAAAGTCACCCAACGGTCAATTCAAAAGTAGCTCGTTCTCTACTTTTAAAAGTTGAAACTTTCAAATTGAATTGTAAAACTATCAATCTAAAAACGGGCTGCATCGATAAGCTTGGGACGGACTGCATCGATTAGCTTGAAACCGAAGATAGTATCAGAGCTGAGCCAAAAAGTTGACCACGTTTCTTCGAGACCTTCTGGTTTTACCAACCAGTGGAAACTATAGATACTATAGATTCCATAGATAAGCGTAAGCACAAAAACCAATGAAAAATAAATGATCTTACTGGCATCCGTGAAAAAAGTTCATGTCATCATAGAGCTCTCAGTTGTGCAATTTTGTTTTGTTTCGTGCGTAAAAGTTCAAAATGAAGTGCAAAGAAAAAATCTAAATTAGTTATTACCCGAGCAAAGTCTGAGATCAAATTGAAATCTAAATTTGATGTTGTGATTTTGCTGATAATATTACACAGGTTGCTGTCGTTTTGGTCGTTTTAACGGTTAAAATATCAAAATTGAGAGCAAAACAAAATCTTCCTGTGACATCACATTGAAAACTATTTCTGCTATCAGTGAGAGCAAACTGAAAACTCAATTTGATATCAATTTTTCCTGTTGATAACAAAACAAGTACACTGGAGTCGCTTTTTACGCGGGGGATACGTGCCGCGTAAAAAAACTACCGAGATTTTGATATTTCACATGCTTAAATATTTTTAAGCATGCATGCTATGGTCCATATAGACATATTTTAAAAATTTCTGTATTTACACAAAAAAATGTGATTTTTTTTAAAAGTATGCCATTCGATTACCTATAGCTTGAAACGGATAATGTGATTGGAATCAAATCGATAGGTTGTATCGTTGTCGAGAAAATGTGGAAAACGTACTGCGTAAATTGCGACACAACACATTGAATATTTCTCACTGCAAAACATCGTCGCTAAAACATTACCGCCATCTGTTGAATACAGTGTGGTGGGTAGTACGCTGAACAGATGGCGGTAGTGTGTAAACGTCAAACACAAGGAAATTGAATATGCGCGCCACAGGTGGCGGTACTACCAACTACGATACTTTTAAATTTACCGTTAAATGCTTGTTTGATGAACAACTTGCGACTGTTATGTCTGTTTGTCTGTGGTATAAGTATTACAGACGAACTGGACGCAATCAATTTTATATCGATTTGTAAATTCAATTCACAGGCAGATTAATATCAATAAATGTTGTAAAACAACACTGTAAGAATCATAATTGTCTTAATTGTGATGTTCATAAAGAAACCTGATTGACTCGTAGGAAGAAAAAATAAAAATAAATGTAGATTTCAAGCACAGACAAACAGACATAACTCTCGCAAGTTGTTCATCGAACAAGCATTTAACGGTCAATTTAAAAGTATCATCACAGACAAACAGACATAACACATTGAATATTTCTCACTGTAAAACATCGTCGTTAAAACATTACCGCCGTCTGTTGAGTACACTGTGGTGGCTAGTACGCTGAACAGATGGCGGTAGTGTGGAAACGTCAAACGCAACGGAATTGACTATGCGCGCCACAGGTGGCGGTACTACCAACTAAGATACTTTTAAATTGACCGATAAATGCTTGTTCAATGAACATCTTGCGAGTGTTATGTCTGTTTGTCTGTGGTATCATAGTTGGTAGTACCGCCACCTGTGGCGCGCATAGTCAATTTCCTTGCGTTTGACGTTTGCACACTACCGCCATCTGTTCAGTGTACTACCCACCACAGTGTACTCAACAAATGGCGGTAATGTTTTAGCGACGATGTTTTACAGTGAGAAATATTCAATGTGTTATGTCTGTTTGTCTGTGTTTCAAGTTTGGATGCGTTTTTTTTTATAAAATATCAAATTTTGTTTTAAATAATATTTTTAGAAATATCAAAACAATATCAAAATATGTTGTTAACATGATTTTAAAAACAAAATTAGATACCATTTTGATAGTATTTTGATATCCGACTTTGCTCGGGTAGACACTACTGTTTATTTCTCTTTGTTTCTCGATACAAGGTTAAAGCTGCTGCTGCTGGGTTGGATTCAAACTTAACTTAAGCCTTAAGTCTTAAGGTTCTACAAAGGGTCAACAATTTGTTTACTTCTTCTTTTTGAAATATTCGACCGTTTACTCGTTGCTGATTGGTCGACGTTTTCTCCTCTCTTTCGGTGGTAGGCGGAACACAATGAAAACAAACCCGCTACAACATATTTTTGAAGAGCAAATGTCAGCAAAATGAAAACAAAATTTGGTATCAAATTTGTCAATTGCATAAACTGCAATCAAATTAGGATTTAAGTTTGATGTTGATGTCAAAACCACATCTATGACACAAACGTCATTCCCATATACTTTGCGTGAAGCCGAAAAATCCTGGTTCTCTGGTTCGATCGAACCAGAGAACCAGGATTTTTCGGCTTCACGCAAAGTATATGGGAATGACGTTTGTGTCATAGATGTGGTCAAAACTTGATTTCAACTTGCTGTCATTTTGACTTGCCTCGGGTATTTTGTTATCCTGATATCATATTTAGCAATCTGAATTTTATTATTATTAAATTTATATTTTAAATGTTTTGATTTTATCATACCGTTACCTCAATGTTATATCACAAACAAACAGACACAACTCATTGAACATTTATCGTTGTAAACCCTACCGCTATCTGTCGTATACACTGTGATGGGCAATACACTCAACAGATGGCTGTAGTGTGTAAACGTCAAACGCGAGGAAATTGATTATGTGCGCCACAAGTGGCGGTACTATCAACTAAGAAACATTTAAATTGACCGTTAAAAGCGATTTCGATGAACATCTTAAGCATGTTGTGTCTGTGTCTGTGATCATGCCTTCACTATCGGGGGCATCCGCGGGTAATCCGCGGTAATCCGTGAAAGTGCTTGTATTTTTCTCAGGCACTTTTGATCTAACTGCAATCACTCTCTCATACTCGAAATGTGCCACGACCAAATTGGCACAACGACGCCTTATACGCTCTCTGACCAAAGCGCAGGGACTATCAAAATATGAATTCAACCGAAATTAAAAAAAAAAAGTATATCAAAATATGTTATGACCATGATTTCAAAAACATAATTTGTTATAATTTTGATAGAATTTTGATATCCGACTTTGCTCGGGTAACTACTTCTGGCGGCTCAACTTAGCCTGGGGTTTTCTTGGGCCTATTAGCCATTGAAACGTCATTGGGATTCTCTTTGGCCTATCGAACTGAAAGAAAAATGAATTCAAGTGCGCCTTTTGTTTGACGTTTGTTCGATACGTTCACCCGGAAATCATAGATAAATTTGATGTGTCGTGCTCGATAGGCTGGGAATTGGTGATTAGACCGAAGTAGATTTTCCCCTACTACTAAGGGGCTGTTCATAAACTACGTAGACAGTTTAGGGGGGGGGGGGGGGGGGGTTGAGAATTATCCACGGCCCATACAAATTTTTAATTTTTTGTATGGACAATTGTCTACGCAGGGGGAGGGGGGGGTGAAGAATCCCAAAAAAACTGTCTACGTAGTTTATGAACAGACCCTAATTTCAAAGATGAACAGCAAAAGGCCAAATCACTTGAAATGTTAAATCAAATGTAGCATCGCAATCAATGGAAATAAAACGTCATTTTACACATGATTGCAAGTACTTTCGCTTAAATTTTGATTTGTGCTTTGCATTTCCTTTGCAATTATATGGCTTCTTTCATCTACCTACTTTATTTAAATAAAAAAAATAAACAACGTGTATTTTTATAACTAAGAAGTATATACTTTATTCATTTTAAAGGATTATGATTTTTACATACAGAGTACGTTTCGTCGCAATCGCAATTTTATACAACAAAATGTATTTTAAAGACCGACCGGTAATTTGTTTCACTCGATTTTCATGAAAGGTAGTTTTATTCAATAGGTTTAAACATGTTTCCTTTGCTATTTTCGTCTTTTCGCTAACATACGTGTATTTAACAAGTGTCCTCTAAGTATACTGCTTTTGACCTTGTGTTTGAGTGTCTTTGTTTGTATTATATAGATTTTTCATTTATTGGGAGTCTAGAAAACCGTCCTAGCATCAAAATACAGATAGTCAGATTATATCCGTTACAGCTTCCACGCTAAAGTGTCACTCATTCCATGATTGTAGTTTTACTGGCGGTCAGGTGATTTTCATTTCCAAGAGAAGGATCGAAGAGGACTTATTCTGAAGGCTGTCTATGTTACTCTTGTCTAACATTATTCGTGAAAACTTACAAATATCAGGCATTCGTTTTCACAAAATATGAGCTTCTAATGTATGTAAGTAACCATTTACATGTTCACCTGTACAAAACATTACAATAATGGAATCGAAACTGTTACTGCATGCACTTGAAATGACAGATACAACAGATACAAAAACAAAAACGGAAGTTATGTGTAAATATTTGTTTGAACTAATTTGGTAAATAGTACAGCACAGATAAAAATAATTAAATTTAAAAAAAATCCTCCATCAGCTGGCAGTAAACTATGGAACATAGGTACTGTAAAATTATAAATAAATTGCTAAAACTGACTTTATTTTAATAACCATATTTATCTTGAATTGATGACATCATATCGTTCGCTAATGTGCTTAACCGTCCGGCAACTTTGGTTACACTCTGGCGCACACTTTCTTTAACGTCATCCAAATCGGGCCCATTGAATTGCATATTCGAACCACCACGACCTGTATAGTTAATGAAAGTTAAGTGTTATAAATGTGGCCGTGCTGAGTTCAAGTGTCAAGTCCTACCAGCGCTACCACTAGGGCTGCCATGGCCGAAGTAATCTGCCGAGGAAATACTATTGGACCCCTGGAATTTAGCCAAGTTTGACGATCGCTCGTATGACGATGTCTCATCACCGAAAAACTGTTGCGACGAAATACCCTTCGCTGTACCGAATTTCTTCTGCGCTACATCGGTTGATTCGTAGTCATTGCTAGCACTGGTTGGAGTTTTCTTGTTTGCGTTCCTGCTGTACGTTGGTTGATCTGCGGGATAGGTTAGTTTTAATAAAAACGTACTTGAATCATGAATGTCGATTAAAGTTTTTTGTTTGTTTGGCATACGTACCACTGATGCTGGTATTCTTCGAAGAACTGGAAGCAGGAGAAAACATTGTCTGGATGTTCTGCTTCGTGTCAAACGGTTCGATGGTTTCGAATCCCATCATCGTGGCATCACTATAGTCTTTCATGGAAGACGAGTTCTTGTTGCCGTTGCTACTACTGCCGCTACCGTACATTGACGTGGCGTAGTCATCGAAAAAGTCATTGTTGGACTCGAAAGCTTTCGAAAGAGAGGACCCACTCTTGCCAGTTGATTCTTGGGTGAGTGTTTTCATGTCCGAAATGGCGGAATGTGAAACTCCACTGCGGGAACCAAGTCCCATGCCAAGGCGCTCGATCTGTTTGGCTTTGTTGGGATCGGTCACCTTCATCTTTTCTTCCTCCTTATGCTGCTTGATCGAAAGGTCATGATAGGCCAAGCGAACGCTGGCAAGAGCCTGTGCTTGATCCTCTTGGCTGACCGCTTTCTCCTGCACCGCCGGTGTCATTTTGAGCTTGTCGGCAAGATTAGCCTTCTCTTCGATCTCGGCAAAGTTTGTCTTTACACGCGTTGCTCCGAGGCCACCCTTCTTCCCACCGAGGCCTGCTTTCTTCGGCTGAATTTTCCTCACTCCGATTGTCGACTTTGGTGCCTCTAATGGAACCGTGGAATTCAGGAAATCAACGCTAGGTCCTTGTAAATTTCCAGAACTATCGGATGTGGTGTTGCTCAAAGAAGCAAGTTTTGGGATCTAGAATATAAGTTCAATTTAGTACAGTAAATTTGGAGTTGGGTAACCAATCGTTTAACAAGGTTTATTATTGCTGCTAAGCGAAGAAACAATTCAAATCCACAAAAAATACTTACGCCGTCCTGGGTAGCTTCCTGTTGTTTCAGGTTGTTGTTGTGGCTGTCCGTGGTGGTCGTGGGAGGGGCCTCAATGTTAGCACAATCGGCGAAAAAGTCGATTTCTTCATTTTTGTTACTCTCGGCATGATGGTAATGCATGCTATCGATGTGGAGCTGATTTGTTGTATTGTTGGGTAATTGTGAATGCGAACCAATCGAAACAAAAACCGGAAAAATAGGGAAACAAATGCCATTGGATAATGCGAGGAATGTATGTGGAAACAAATAGAGCGTTTTTATAGATCAATTACAAGTCGGTTTAATTTCATGCATTAAAATCCAACTGAAATTATTGTTTTTCAGTGAATCTAATTTACGTTCACTGAAAAACAATGGTGGATTATGTTTGCTCTGGTTCATCATATAGACAAAAGACGCTATCAAAACCTACAAAAGCTTTATACATTATTTCACGGAATTCTGTTGATGAAAAAAGTTAGAGGTAAATGAATGTAAATTGCGTAATCCCATTTTTAACTGCGAAGTTTGTTATCCTCACTTTCGCTCCAGCCGAAAATGTTTGTTATAATTGTTATCCTCACGTATCAGAGGGCTACAAAATGGTAAGTGACAATCTGGAAGGACCGATATACCTAGCTCCGGTCCTCACAAGTTCCTACCTCACGCCTCCACGAGTCATATGATCACAAAAGACTGCCAGCTGAAACATGGACACAGCTGGTTGGCGTAGCCTGGGCAAGGTTGTCAATCCGACAATAGCAGAGTGAGGAGGTGCGACGTGAACACTGGCGCGGTAACCATAGCACGGTGATAGAGGAAATGCTTCGCCAACCCGAGCGTCTGTTCACCATTGAGGTGCGGCTCAAACAGCGTCTGACTGGCATCTAGCGGCTGAATAAGAAATGCTCTTCCCCGGAAGCTACACCTAAGACGGCAGCCCGATCACGGCGGATAGGAGACCTTAGGCCAACCACCTACTGTCTCTGAAACCTTTAGCGCAAATCAACGGACACGAATTGGATCATGGAATGTATTGACGTTAGCCCAGCAGGGTAAACTGGCACAACTCGCCAACGAGGCGCGACGCATGAATCCTGGGATTGAGTGAAGTTCGTTGGCCAAACTTTGGAGAACACAAACTGCCGTCGGGACAGGTACTACTATACTCTGGTATTCGAGATGAAAACGCTAACCGCCATCGTGGAGTTGGTCTCCTACTTAGCGTCCAGGCAAGTGCTGCGCTTATCAAGTGGGAGCCTGTTAATGAGAGGATAATCGTTGCCAGATTTAGAACGCGGGTTCGTAACCTTACCATAATCCAATGTTATGCGCCAACCGATGCTGCCGAGCTACAGGACAAGGAGAATTTTTACAGTCAACTGAATGCCGTCGTGGATAAGGTTCCAAAGGGTGACATCAAGATCTAAACTGGCGACTTCAATGCGAAGATCGGCTCCGACAACACAGACTATGAGCGTGTCATGGGACCAGTGATTGAAAAATCAGCAATCAATTGATATTTTTCCGCTCTCATGCGCTTGCAATATCACGCGTGATAATGGAACAAAATATAATGCTTGATGTTGATTTTACAAGCTCCTTTGATATTGCGAGACTATTCTCAACATGCTGAGAGTTGATTCGACACAAAAATGATTCTGTTGCACATCGTTTTCTTAGAAAGAGAAATTATACCAGTTTGCTATCTCTTTTTACTCCTCACCGATGGCAGACACGAAGTGACTGCTGCCAGCCGTTATGGAAGTTCCGGTTGCATTCGGGTGTAAAGCAAAAATCATGAAACTCAATCTCACCACAGTTTGTCGAGATTTGCAGCTGGTGAGTTTTGTTAGCTTGATATTCCGAGCTCCAATATCACAGTTTGCAAATTCAACCGCAGTTGTTTGCTTGTTGATTTTCGTCTACGGAAATCAAGCGTGATCTTGGGCGTTTGTGAGATTTGATTTTTTGATATTTTCCCAACACTGCATGGGACGCCATGGTCTCGGCGAAATGAGCGAGAACGGTGAGCTGTTTGCAGAATTTTGTGGCAATAACGATATGGTGATCGGGGGCTCGCTCTTCCCCCATCGGCCAGTGCACAAAGTGACGTGGGTTTCCCGTGATGGACATACCGAAAATCAGATCGACCACATCTGCATCAGCCGAAAATGGAGACGGAGCCTTCTTGATGTCCGGAATAAATGCAGCGCCGACATCGCGTCTGACCGAAATCCGCCTAAGCATGGCGCAGATCCAGCGACGGGAGGAGAGACTCGGGCGGCGGTTCAACACACGCCGACTTGAAGATCCAACGGTAAAAAGGTCTTGCAGACGGGACAAGCGAGCGTGGGTGAACTCCCTGACCGACGAAGGGGAGAAAGCCCCAAACACTGGTGATATACGCCTCCTCTACGATATCTCACGACGCCTGAGTGGAGCAAGGATGAACCCGAGGATGCCAGTGAAGGACACGACTGGACAGTTGCTTAACTACTCCACTGAGCAGCTGAAAGGCTGGTTTGAGCACTTCGAACCACTTCTTCAAGTTTCGACGGCCAACCAGCCAGCAACATCTCGGCATGATCCGCCTAGGGTGCAGCGCATCACTCGCGTCAATTCCGAGGCCCCATCACTGCAGAGGATTGAAGCATTTTTTTATTTTAATTTTTTTTTATTTTTTTTTATTTGAAATAGGGGAAATGACGGCTTCGGCATGACAGACTATTGTCGGCAACCCAAATTGAAACGCTAATTTCACTGGATTTTCTTAAGAAAACACTTCGCTGAATGCATTCAAATTATTTTTTAGGCTTTCAGCTTCAATTTGATTATATTTTTACTACTGAGAAAAGGCAATCTAGCAGGGTTTTCTTGAAATGAAACACACGCACTACAAAACGCTGCTGATTTCGAGTTGCCGATGAAAGCACAGCTGTTTAACACGCAGCTCAAATAGAAAGGCTGCCGAATAAAAAGAGGTTGCCCGCAATAGTCGCTCTCACTAGAGAATATTGGAGCTTTGTAAAAGTGTGTTAAAACAGTTTTTGACAATTTTTTCGACTGAAATTCTTAGAGCAGCTGGCAGCAAAAGATTGTAAACAAACCAATACTGTATAGGGTAGAGCGCTACTTCGTCGTAATCGCCCATTTCCGTTCTATCGATCAGAAAAGATCAATAGTATCAATGATTTCACCGTGCACAAATCAAGAATAGGTTTGTTCCGATGCGCTAGCTCATTAGCTACAACATAAACCCTGTTAGAGCGCATTGTATGAATATTTACGTTCATTGTTCTCAAAACAAAAGAAGCGCTCCTAGCGAATCCCCTTTTTCTACGTTTATCCGTAGGACGATGAAAATCTAATGGCGTTTCAATGCGTTAAGACGGAATTGAAACTCGTAGAACGAATTTAGAATCAAGAAGCAGTATTCGATTTTAAACAATATCTCAACAATTTGTGACTCTTTAGCTAATCCAACGGTACGTATGGAAAGGTGAATAAATTTAGAAGTCATGTTTGACAGAAATATTCAATTTTTTGTTTAAACTCGTTCAGAAAAGAGAGGTAAAGCGCGGCTTGTGCTTAGTAAGACGGAAATTAGATCAAAAACCCTATGTGTGCGTTCCTTAGAGAAAAAGGCTATAGAAAGATGGTCGCTGCTTAGGTTGCCGAGAATACGTATATTCCCCTATTTATTTTTTATTTTTCATTTTTTTTTTTAATATTTTTTATTCCTAATAGGGGAAATGACGGCTTCGGCATGACAGACTATTTTCGGCAACCCAAATTGAAACACTATTTTCATTGGATTTTCTTACGAAAACACTTCGCTGAATGCATGCAAACGATTCTTTATGCTTTCAGCTTCAATTTGACTATATTTTTACCACTGAGAAAAAGCAATCTAGCAGGGTTTTCTTGAAAGAAAACACACGCACTACAAATTGTAGCTGATTTCGAGTTGCCGATAATAGAACAGCAGATTTACATGCAGTTCAAATGGAACGGTTGCCGAAGAAAAACTGGTTGCCGACAATACTCGCTCTCACTAGAGAAGATTGGAGCGTTTCAAAACAGTTTTTGACAATTCTTTCGACTGAAATTGTTAGAGCAGCTGGCAGCAAAAGATTGTAAACAAACCAATACTGCATATGAGAAAAAGGCTATAGAAAGATGGTCGCTGCTTAGGTTGCCGATAATACGTAAATTCCCCTATTTGTTTTATTTTTAATTTTTTTTTTTTTTAATATTTTTTTTATTTTTCATTTTTTTTTTTTAAGCAAAAAAAACTCAAATGCCAACAACAAATGCTAACAAAACAAGCTACAACGGGCGCCACGGTGTCCACGAACCAACTAATATAACAACCTGGGTGAGCTGCACACTCAAAGGAAAGAGTGGATCACGGATAGAACCTGACGTAAGATTAAGGAGTGAAGAAAAGCAAAAGCCGGAACCCTTTTAAGAAGCGCATAGGATAGCAAAAATCGATCGCATGAAAAAGAGCGGTTGGGAACCGAAACTTATCAACGGAAGTCAAGCGGTCATGTAGACGAACGGGACAAGCGAGAATACGTGAACTTCCTAGTTGCCCAAGGGGAGAAAGTCGCAACAACTGGCGATATTTATTCCTCTGATAGACAATAAGATGATGATCTGATGATCAATGATAGACCCAAGGATCCCTGTGAAATACGCCACTGAGTAGTTGCTTACCGACCCGACTGAACAGCTTAAACGTTGGTTTGACCAGAACAATTCGAACAGTTTCTTCAAGTTTCGACGTTCAACCAGCCATCGGCATTTCAGCAAGATCCGTCAAGGGTACAGGGTACAGCGTACATCATTACAAGAGATATCGTACTTAGAAATGATTACCGATCTTTCAACAGCTGATGAACTGTTCGATAAAAATCAGGCATTTTAATTCAACAATGCTGACAGTGTTTTGAAATTAAAATTGAGTGAAACAGCTTTTGAAATGAAGGTCAAAGTTTTACCGAACGTTCGGTAAAAAATTACCGAAGTCGTAATTTCTAAGTATCTCATGTTGTTTTCGTTGTTGCTGAACTACACTGGTGTAGTGTAAGCAGCAATACGCGCGAATCATCGACAGCTCATCATCATTTGTTTGTAAACAAAGGTGCAACCGATAGCTACACCCTGAATTTTTTCGGCGGTGTAGCAACACCAAAAAATCGAAAACGACATAAGCAACTATCCGAAGCATGAAACCCAACAAAGCTCCCGAGGTCGATCGCATATCAGCAGAGATGCTCCAAGCTGACACCATATGCTATCCGCACAAATGTTGCATCAATTGCATGTTGTCTCTATGTAGGGTACCAATAAGGCTAAGGCCTTGATGTCCTCTGCTGTCCTAAGAAGTCGTCTCCACTCGATACATGGCCACACGTCGCCAGCCTCGTTGTCTGCGAAAGGTCTGTATGTCGCCTTCTACTTGGTTGAACCACCTTGCCGCTGCGCGCTCCATCTTCTTATTCCAGTTGGGTCGCTTTCGAGAACCATTTTCACTAGGTCATCGTCCGGCACACCATAGTCGCCCAATTTTTGCAATGTGGGCGATTGATGGTTAATCCAGAAGCTGGTGCAATTCATGGTTCATTCGCCTCCTTCACGTCTTCCATCCCCACCCGCTGTAGATGGTCCGCAACATCTTCCATTGATCCTCTACCAGCATATTCCAGGTCTTGTGGTCTTGCGGTCTTATCAGATATATTCTAGACATATTAAGAACGCAATTGATCGAAGTCCAATGAAATAAAATACCGACAATAGTTTGATCTATAAAATTTACTCTAGAAAGCATGTTTCTAATCCTTTTATGTTTTACGGCACAACTGGTACATCTAGAGCTTTTAAATTGGGATTACCTACGCAAGCAATAATTTAGTATATTTTTCACCAAAATCAAATAATCAAACGAAGCATTCACATTTTGTATGATTATGAAATAAACCCTGTAAATTTGATATACGTGCAATGCTCACCGTAGTCCCATGCAACTGCAACGATTGTTGCGCCAAATGGGTCAGCTTGTCCTTATACAGCTGCGCCGCACGAGAGGTGTATTTCTGCTGAGCATCGGTTGAATTGCTGTTATGCTGGCGGAAGAACTGAGCCTGAGAAGACACAATGGAAAATAGTACACGTCATTGCATTATACACTACAGTCAAACAGCGCACGGAAGAGAACAACTTACCGCTTTTGCGTTGCCGCCAACCTGCATCTGGCGGATCTGCATCCATGTCCAGTTGGTGTCGAGATTCGTCGACCGCACGAAGGTCAGATGCACACCCAAGCTACGGTGCACTGCCGAGCAATCGATGCAGATGAAAACTCCATACGTCACTGAAGACCAGGTGGGATTCTTCGCTGCACAATCGAAACAACTCTACGGAACAGAGAAGATAATAGTGGTGATTTGCAACTTGTCTTGGTGAATGGTATTCCGATCAAGGTTACGATCGAAAATATTAAAAATCAACCGCGGCAATCTGGCAAGGACACCTACCTTGTTGGTTGGTATCGAGCGTAGTCTGTTGAAAATTGCATCTATATCAGATTTTTCTGGTGCTCCTGCCATCTCTCCTGCCCTTTTTTCCTGCGCGTATTAATTATCCACAATCAACGTTATACAAATTTCGGGTTTTGACCGAGTACCACCAGAAATTCATGCACAAAAACACTACACTATGGTGGCCACTATTACTTCGCACAAAACTAACACAGACGTAGATAATTTTATGGTCGATTCTGGCAAAAAAAACGGAAAATTATCGCAGGATTTTGAAGAAAATATTTTCGACTGGATCGCCACTGTGCTGGATTTTCCTCTTTTTCTGATGACTCTGTTTGACAGCCTGACTGACGTGACACGTTCTGACGTCGCCAGCGGCGTGAAGTGGGCGCCGATGCTGAGGTCACAGATGCTTTGTGCAGATGAAAATGTCAATTATTAAGAGATTTGACGATTCGATTTTACCGATTTTACAGACCCATGATCAAGTATCCACGTACTTTTTGCTTAACACTGGTGCCGAGACAGGTGCACAATAGGCTCTTTCATGCACCATCAATGAAGAGTGCGCTAGCCGATTTTGAGAGGAAATGTCATCCAATCCGTTTGTTTACATCATAATGACGATTTTCAAAACTCAAAATAATGTACATTTTATTGCACAACTTGCAAATTTCTATCGGAAGTGGCTTTATTTTTGGATTATTTACACATCTAAACTGATTAACAGCTGAAATAATCACACATTAAAAATCCGGAAGATCATAACCGCTGAGACTATTTTATAAATCCTAATTTTTCTCATCAAAAATATATATGGATGCCCGCATAAACGCGAACCATAAATTGACCTTACCGATAATGGTTATAAATTGTTTATAATCCCTCCTTAACTTTAACTGAAATGGTTTTGGAACCTTACATGAACGTTTGTGTGATAAAGTTTTAACCACAGACAAACAGACATAACACTCGCAAATTGTTCATCGAACAAGCATTTAACGGTCAAATTAAAAGTATAGTAGTTGGTAGTACCGCCACCTGTGGCGCGCATAGTAATTTCCCTTGGGTTTGACGTTTACACACTACCGCCATCTGTTCAGCGTACTACCCACCACAGTGTACTCAACAGATGGCGGTAATATTTTAGCGACGATGTTTTTCAGTGAGACATATTCAATGTGTTATGTCTGTTTGTCTGTGTTTTAACCTTATGTATTATGGTTTTTAGGAAGCGGACCTTACAAATAATGGGTTGTTAAGAACCATTACCATTTCAAATTCTTGTTTTCTCCATACATATTAGAACGTTTTTACTTATGGTTTGAGAACATTAATGGTTATGGTTATGGTAGTCAGTAAGGCCCATGAATGGTTTTGTAACATCGATCAACTTTATGTGGAATATATCGCGAATTGGTTGCCTGTAAATTAATAATTCAGTGCCAACATTTCAAAGGGGCGTAATTGCTTTTGTAAACAATGGCTTTAGCCGTCGATTTCTCGCAAATAAAAGCCCAACCCTCCAAATTACCAATGCTAGCTGGTACAGGAAATATTCATCTACCTGCTGGTGTCATTCATTTTTATGAGTGAGCTTTCATTCGCGAGAAATCGACGACTAAAACCATTGTTTACAAATGCAATTACGCCCCTTTGAAATGTTGGCACTGAATTATCAGTTCGCGATATATTCCACGTAAAGTTGAGCGAACGATAATACAAAACGATTAATGGACCTTACTGACTACCATAACCATAATCATTAATGTTCTCAAACCATAATTAAAAACGTTCTAATATAGTTCTCTTTCCGAAAATGTATGGAGAAAACAAGAATTTGAAATGGTAATGGTTCTTAACAACCCATTATTTGTAAGGTCCGCTTCCTAAAAACCATAATACATAAGGTTAAAACTTTATCACACAAACGTTCATGTAAGGTTCCAAAACCATTTCAGTTAAAGTTTAGGAGGGATTATAAACAATTTATAACCATTATCGGTAAGGTCAAGTGATGGTTTGCGTTTATGCGGGACATTAAAACAATATTTGAAATTTCATGGAAACATTTTTTGATGATTGACGGACGAGTTGATGGATACCCCTTCTCACTTAAACTATACCGACGCCCATGCGCCGCCAGCACCACGTAGCGAAATGTCACTTTTTCAACAAAACACAAAACAGTCAAACAAATTCCGTCGGGTTTAGTTTCCATTCCATTTTCTCCGCAATTTTATTCCAGATTTTCCCTGCTAAACAACTGATAACGGTAAGTTAAATACGCTTATGCCTTCCCCAATCATTGCAGTTTGTTCGAAGATTGGAAATAAGCAGTTTCTACTCGATGAATCGTCCAATTTTAACCAAAAATTTTCAACGTCAAAATTTCGTCATCAAGCAATGTAACTGTTTTCCTTATCAATTCTCAGTGATTCCCCACGAATCCCGGAAAGTCCCTTTCGAACAATGCTCGAAAAAGGTAAAGTCTCCCTCGTAGGGGTCCTCCTTTTGCTGACGGTGCTTCTCGAGTGTACCTTCAGTCTTCCGGTGGTGACGCAGAAGGCGAAAACGGAGAAGCCAGAAGAGGAGGTCAAGGACAGCAACGTGGAACAGATAGAGGCAAGTGGTTTGGTGATGCAAGTAGAATAGTTATTATTCATTACACGCTTGTAAAATTGCCTAAAGCATTTAGCATGTGTCGATCCAGTTTTCAAGTGACTCTCAATAATCGCCTCTCTTTGTTTCGTTCCAGAATGTTATTGAGTACAATAAGTATTTGCAAGAGGTAGTAAAGGTGCTGGAAAGCGACCCAGTGTTTCGAGAAAAATTAGATAAAGCAGCGGAAAGTGATATTAGAGTATGTTTGAACAGCAGTCACTTATACTAGCAATTGAATAATTACATTTTAAATTCTTACTTGCAGTCTGGTAAAATTGCTCAGGAATTGGAATATGTGAACCATAATGTACGATCCCAATTAGATGAACTGAAGCGGATTGAGCTGCAGCGATTACGTGAACTAGCGACGAGGCAATTTGAACTATCGAATCACATCGATCGAAACCATATGAAAATTGCCGAACATCTCGATCATGAGAATCAACACACTTTTGAAATTGATGACTTGAAGAAGTTGATTCTGAAAACGTCTCAGGATCTGTCGGAAAATGATCGCCGACGCAGGGAGGAATTCAAACAGTACGAACTTCAGAAGGAATTTGAAAAGCAGGAGCAAATGCGCCAGCTGGACGAAGAGCATCGCAAACAGTACGATGAAGAATTGAAGAAACAGCAGGAGAAACATAACAACCATGAGAAGATCCATCATCCTGGAAATAAAGCTCAACTGGAAGAGGTCTGGGAGAAGCAAGATCATATGGATGGACAGGATTTTGATCCGAAAACGTTTTTCATGCTACATGACATCGATGGAAATGGATTCTGGGATGAAAACGAAGTAAAGGTACTTTTCATCAACGAGCTGAATAAAATGTACCAGGCAGGAACGCCCGAAGACGACATGAAGGAGAGAGCTGAAGAAATGGAACGAATGAGGGAGCATGTGTTCCAGGAAGCCGATACCAACAAAGATGGTCTGATCAGTTATGAAGAATTTATTGAGCAAACCAAGCGTGAAGAATTTCAGAAGGACCCCGAATGGGATACTGTCGACCATCAGCCTCAGTTCACACATGAGGAGTATTTGGAATATGAACGACGCAATCAAGAGCAAATTCAGCGGTTGATTGCTGAAGGAAAGGTAGGAATCTATATTTTTTTCTTGATTTTAGTCAGAAGCTCTCACTTGATATATTTCTACTTATAGCTTCCACCGCATCCAAACATGCCACAGGGATATTATCCTGGACCCAACGTAAGTTTTTCTATAGCTTTATGACTATCTTTCATAGTCGCATGCTGATAATTTGTTTATTCTCTCAGACTGGCCCATACCAAGCACACCCCAATGCTATTCCGCAAAACAATCAACCCTATAATCCGCCACAACCGGGACACCCAAACCAAGCACCCCAATATCAAGCTCATCCACAGCAAGCTTACCCGCAACAAGTGAATCTGCACCCGAATCAGGTCTATCAGCATCACCAAGATCCAAACTATCAACAACAAAGTGGTCAACAGTCCAACGTGTACCAGCACCCTCCGCAGTATCAACAGCAACCACAGCAACATCCACTTCCCCAACAGCAGCAGCAGCAATATAATCAACATCCACCACAGAAGCAGCAAGAGCAGTACCAGCAACAACAGGTTCAAAATCCTCCGGTTCATCAAAATCAACAGCCTAAGAACCAACCACAACCTGCTGCCCAACAAGAACAACAACTTTCACCACCTGCTGTACAACAACAGCATCAACAGCCACCGATAATCAAAAACCAAGCACCTCCCCCTCAAAATCAACCACAACTACAACAACAGCAACAACATGCTCAGCACAACGTTCCCAATAGCCAACCCCCAGCTGGACAAGTGCCACCACCACAGCAGCAGCAGCAGCAGCAGCAGCAGCAGCAACAGCAGCAGCAGCAGCATCAACAACAACAACAACGGCCTTCCGTGCAATCACAGCAGCAGAAACACTAAAATTCGATGTGGTGTATAAAACTTCTATAATATTGCTATACTCTAGAAGAACAAAACTTTATAAAAACCTGTGCAGTATATGATGAAACGAGTTTGTGGAATCCAGGCCTATAGATAAAACGAAAAACTGAATTCTAGTAACACTAACGATGAGCACTCGACGGCCAAATGTAACTGGCGATTTTTCCAGTATAAACTTTTCGTTGCATTTTTATACTTTTCCGACGAATCATACAAATAGAAAAGGTCTAGTGATTTTCAAGACTGTTTGGTAAATTTCTAGAATCGTTCAAAAACCTCTAATGTGTATAACTCAACTATTCGAGTAATAAATCTGTCTGAATCTTGTACGTTCTCAACTTAGATTTTTTTATTTTTTCAGTTTGGATCAAGAAATTGATTGCTCTAGATGTTCAGACTGTGTGTACATATCACAAAAAAACCTCTTCAAAATAGTATTATGTCACTACGTTAAGCTCAATTATCAATTCAAGCGAGTCAGCCGTCAATTCTACTTGCATTATCTGCGAGGGATTCAAAGGAAATTCAAGTCGCACCCGAGGTCTTTCTGGAAGTACGTGAAGGAGCAGCGCAAAGAGTCCGGTCTACCATCATCCATGATATTGAACGGAGAAGTCGCTTCCACTCCACAGGAAGTCAGCCGCCTGTTCTCCAACAAGTTTGCAAATGTCTTCTCTGACGAGAGCTTAACCAACGAATACGTGACTCTAGCAGCAAGCCGTTCCACTTTCCGGTCAAGCTCTGAGTGGAATTGTTGTCAACGCTGAAGTGATAACGACTGCCGCACTAAAACTAAAGCCTTCTATCAACCCTGGACCGGATGGTGTCCCTTCAGTCTTTCTGAAGAAGCATATCGCTAAATTACTGTCACATCATGTGACATGGAACATGTACAACATCTGTTCCGATTGTCCATATCGTGTGGCATTTTTCCATCGAACTGGAAATTCGCGCATATGTTCCCTGCGTGGAATCACATCGTGATGCGCAATTTCGAAGTTATTCGAGGTAATCATCATAGAGCCTCTGCTCTCCCATTGCAAGCAGTATCTAAGTGAAGCTCAACATGGCTTCACCTCTGGTCGATCTACTACCACGAATCTACTGCGTCTGACATCGTACATCACGCAAAGTATGGTTGAAAGATCACAAACAGACGTCATCTACACTGACTTGTCTGCTGCCTTCGATAAGATAAATCACGCCATCGCGATCGCCAAATTGGATAGACTTGGGATTAGCGGAAATCTCTTGAGATGGTTTTGCTCATATCTCGCCGATCGTCAGTTGGTGGTAGCCCATGGTGACTGCCAGTCCGACATTTTCGTCAGGAATACCTCAAGGAAGTCATCTGGGACCGTTGATTTTCTTACTCTACTTCAATGACGTGAATTTAGTTATCGAAGGTCCACGACTATCGCATGCAGACGATCTCAAAATCTACTTACGGATCTGCTCGATCGATGATTGTCAATTCCTCCAACGTCAGTTTGAAGCGTTTGCCAGCTGGTGCCATTTGAACCGAATGACAGTAAATCCTGCGAAGTGTTCAGTCATCACTTTTACCCGAAAGAAAGAACCAGTTATTTTTCACTATGCTCTCCGGGACACCATTATTGAACGTGTGAGCCATGTAAAAGATCTAGGTGTCATCCTGGACTCTCAACTTACATATAAGCAACACATCTCGTACGTCGTCGACAAGTCGTCAAGGACGTTGGGCTTTATCTTCAGAACAGCTAAGAATTTCTCCGACATCTATTGCCTCAAGTCACTGTATTGTTCCCTGGTACGTTCCATTCTAGAATATTGTTCTGTGGTTTGGAGTCCGAACCACAACAATGGTACTGAGAGAGTCGAGTCCGTTCAACGCCGCTTTCTGCGATACGCGTTGAGAATGTTACCTTGGAGAGACCCGTTTAATTTGTCCAGCTATGAAAGTCGCTGCCAGCTGATGGACTTGGAGCCTCTTCGCACCAGAAGAGATACTTCAAAAGCCCTGCTTGTCACGGACACGTTACGTAACCTCTCGCGAGCGCAATTCAAAAGATATTAATAACAAACTAATCTAGAACTGGGCTCAAACATATAACACTTTCTAAGACTGATCATGATTAATATAGTATGAATAATGAGAATTGAATGAAGAAAAGACGATCCCAAAAGAAAGTTCCCTAGCAATAAAACTATTACTCTGTGCTAATCTGAGTTATTTCAAAATGGGAATCTGTGGTGGATAGAGTTTATGTGAAATAATAATGATTTAAAAAAAAATTAAAATTAAGTCATGTAATGAAACGCTTAATTTGAGTAAACCCAAATTAGCGTGAATGTGAATAAAATCTAACTATCATTGCTTTATAAGGGCAAATCCCGAGACAGCACTGCTAGCTGTGTAAAAGAGGGAACATTCTTTTGGTATAAATATGGGCTAACTAAGCTCGCAGAAGGCATGATTGCAGTGTTGGTTGCTACTCGAGGAGTTTAAAACTTGACGACCGTCAGTGTCAGAAAAAAAATTTATTCTCTCTCGTTTCGTTCGTTCGTTCGTTCACAAATCGAATTAGCTCCGCGTTGTGTAGTGACGCTCTCGCTGACCCAGCCATGGGTAAGAAATCACGCGGTAACGCGAGTGCCGGTTTACCGGGAAAACAGCCTCTCCCAGGAGACGGCGCGAACTCCGAGCCTGCCCAGAAGAAGCAGAAGAAAACCCCATTGCCCCGACGGGCGTTGCGGACCCGCAGCCGGGGCCTCCCGGAACTAAACGACCCAGAACTGAAGACACAAGTGCCACCGCATCGGCAGCAAAAAAGGTGCTGAGCAACAATCCGTTCTCCGCCCTGCAGAACGGAGCCCAGCCGCAGTCGGACCCTGAGACGGTGCCAAAAAAAGTGAAGTTGCCACCCTTCTATGTGAAGGGCTTCCCTCCCGGGCTATGGGAAAAGCTGGATTACTACATTAAGGAGGGCCTTCGTTGCACCATTCAACGGTGCACGGAAGGCTACAAACTGATGGTCTCGGCCGAAAATCACTACAACGCAGTCCAGGCCCTCTTGGACAGGATGAAGCTGGAGTACTTCTCCCACGACGTCGAGGCCACCAAGCCGCTGAAAGTAGTGCTGCGCGGGCTCCACGACATGGACACCACCACCTTAATGGACGAAATTAAAGCGAACGGCCTCAAGCCGGTTGAAGGCCATCAAGTATCGTGACCAGCTCTACCTGGTCCATCTGCAGAAGAACTCCACAACCGTGAAGGATCTCCAGACGACACGCACACTGTTCCACATCGTAGTGAAGTGGGAGCGGTATAAGCCGACCCACCGTGGCGTCACTCAGTGCTCAAACTGCCTATTGTTCGGGCACGGCACCAGGAACTGCCGCATAATCGACGACTGCGACAGCATCGAGGAAGCCGCTCCCACATGCGCCAACTGCGGTGCCGCCCACAAGGCCACGAGTAAGGCCTCCCTAATAAAAATTGTATGGTTAATTTGCTTAACGACGTGTTCTGGGTATCATCCAAACCATTTGTGGAATAGTTCAATGATTTGGGTTATCGTTCGTTTATGGTTATTTTTATTAGGGCTGTCCGAAGCGGGCCGAATACGCCGGGATCCGGAAGATTCTCCGAAGCATCCGACGATTCTCCGCTGTCAACGGATGAGATCGTCACACTGCTGGCCCAGGCCATCATCATCAAGCGCACCTGCGCTACAAGAACACAACAGCTCCAAGCTATCATCTCCTTCGTCGCTAATTATGGACCGTGAAGCCATAAAGATCGCCAACTGGAACGCTCGCTCCGTAGGGGCGAAAAACATTGAGCTTGCAGACTTCCTCCACAAGCACGACATCGACGTGGGCCTTCTCACCGAGACCCACCTCAAGACCGGTGCTCAGAACGGCCGCCTATTATTCGACCATTCCCAGCATGGTCTCTATTCCGTCTGGTTTCCGGACGAACCAACCTTCACATCACCGGCGGGCAACCCATCGACGCTGGACCTGTTCTTGGCAAACACTGGATTAGCCAAGCCGGTTGCCGTCAACGACCTGAGTTCGGACCACCAACCGGTGCTGACCGAGCTGGGCTACAACGTGGCCCCTGCACCGTGCCTGCGGAAGGACTACCATCGAGTCAACTGGGTCCAGTTTCGGCGCGTGGTCGACCGCCACATCGTCGACAACCCACCGCTCGACACAGTGGAGGACATCGACCGGGCCCTGGAGGGTCTCCATCAAGCCATATCCGTGGCTGACGAAGAGTGCGTTCGACGAGTTCCTGTGAGGGGTAAGTTTCAAGCAATTGATTCCCACACCGAACTCTTGATTCGACTCAGAAATGTTCGTAGACGCCAGTTCCAGCGGACTGGGGATCTGCAGCGTAAATACGAAATGGTCGATCTGAATCGGCAGATCGCTTCCAGAATGGTCTCAATCCGGAACGAGAGTTTCGGGTGGCTCGTTCAGAACCTGGACGACCGTTCCAGACCATTCTGGAAGGTTGCCAAGGTGCTGAAGTCTCACCCCAAGCCCATTCCACCACTTAGAGTCAATGACGAACGGCTTATCACCAACGAAGAGAAAGCCAATGCGATTGGGGAGCACATTGCCCAGTCGCATTTGCTTGACTCCAAAATCCCAAGTCCACTCGAGAACCAGGTTGCGCAGTGCGTCCAGACGTTAGATGCCTCCCCTTGTGCCGTCCCTCCAGAAGAACGGATTACAAAGGAACAAATTTGCTCAGCGCTGAAACACAGTAAGAACATGAAGGCTCCCGGGTTTGACGGAATATTCAACCTAGAGTTGAAAAATCTCAAGGCGAGGGTGCACTCGCTGCTGGCTGCCATCCTCAACAGGTGCCTGGAGCTGCACTACTTTCCAAGCATCTGGAAGGTGGCAAAAATCATCCCGATCCGCAAACCTGGGAAAGACCCTTCACTACCGTCAAGCTACAGACCGATTAGCCTGCTCTCAGCGCTGAGCAAGCTGTTCGAAAAATTGATCCTCAGCCGACTAAACAAGTTTGTGGAGGAACATGACATTCTTCTTCCGGAACAGTTCGGGTTCCGCAAGGGGCATTCCACCAATCATCAGCTAGTGCGGGTGATGAATAACATCCGAAGTAACAAAGCTGTATCCAAGTCCACAACCATGGCCTTGTTAGACGTCGAAAAGGCGTTTGACAATGTCTGGCACGACGGACTTATATACAAGTTTTAACTCTAACTTTCCACCATACCTTGTGAAAATCACCCGTAACTACCTCCAGCAAAGGTCGTTCAGGGTGTCGTTGAATAGTTCCCTTTCGGGACAATTTCCGATCCCAGCAGGTGTTCCGCAAGGGAGTCTGCTGGGACCACTGCTTTACAGCATCTACACGTCGGACATCCCTCCTCTAGGAGACGGTTGCGTGTTCTTCCTGTTCGCAGATGACACCGCGATAGCCGTCAAGGGTAGGATGCCTCGTGAAATTACGAACAAGCTCCAACGATGCCTTGACAACTTTACTGATTATGCCACCACGTGGAAAATCAAAATCAACGCCTCGAAAACCCAAGCGATAATGTTCCTTCACAGACAATCGCCAAAACTTAAACCGTCTCCCTCCTGTACCGTAATAATGGATGGTACAAGGGTCGAGTGGTCCGCTGATGTTACTTATCTCGGGATGTTGTTCGATGAGAAGCTCCTGTTCCGCTCGCACATAGAGAAAACCCTAGTTAAGTGCTCCGCCTTGGTTAGGTGTTTGTATCCGCTCATTTGCCGCAGATCCCGCCTCTCAAGGCAAAACAAACTGGCTGTCTACAAACAGATCATAGCCCCCGCGATCTTCTATGCCGCCCCTGTGTGGGAATCGTGCGCTCAGACCCACAGGAACAAAATCCAGGTTGCACAGAATAGAGTGTTAAGGATGATCCTAGATCGTCCATTCGACACAAGAATAGCAGACCTCCATCAAGAGGCAGAAATTTCCAAAGTAGATTCCAAAATTGAGGATACGACAACCAAATTTATCCAAAAATGCAATCTTTCTGAACATGCTTTAATAAGCAATTTGTACATAGTAGGTTAAGTGTATATAGTAGAGTAGGTTAGTTTTAAGCTGTAAATAGTAGTATTAAGTAGTTTCTCTTCAAATTCTAAAAACAAAACGAACCAATCCCACCAAGGTGGTCGACCGTGTACTAAGTCTAGGACTAATTCTGTAAAACAAATTTTGAATTTTGCCCATACCTAAAGATGAAGAAAGCAATTAAATCACTTAGACAAATGTATATGGTAATCATCCAAGTTGAACTGAAATAAAGATCATTTAAACTAAAAAAACTCGCAGAAGGCATTCTTGTGACGAACGTTGAAGGCGACGGACGAGCAGCAGCAGCAGCACGAACAGCAGGAACAGCAGCAGCAACAGGAATTGAGAAATCCAACTTAAACTCCTGCGCGCTAGGTGGCAGGAATAAGCACTAACCGACGGTGATAAGTTTGTGACAGCCCTTGATGATTTCATAGATTGTTTTCAAAATTGATTAATTTCAATGTAATTTCATGCAAATTTCTATTTAGAATGGATTAATCTTGTACAAAATGCATAAAACTATTTTGTAATGCATTGTCCCTAAATAAAAAGCTACTATAAGACTTATAAATTACAGAAAACATGTTAAGGTTTGAAATCATCTGCCGATTCAACAGAAGACGAAGTCGGCCGACTAAATCCATCGACGAAAAACTATTAAATAGGCCGATTGCTCGGTGTATCATCAAACGAAAAACGATTTAATCTGCTGATTAATACACCAACTAAAATTAATTACAAGTGGCAATAGATTTAGTCGGTTGGCGAATCGGGTGATTTGGATGATGTTTGTTTATTTGGAAGATATTTTCGAAACAAAGCACAATTATATACCATTATTACGAGTACTACTTTTTTGCTCGGATCATGTTTTGACTCCCACAGAAACTCGCTAGAATAAATACAAAATAATAGTTTTTTGGTTGAAATTTCAAAAATGTATTCAGTTTGACACATTATTTCGGACTTATCACCGCTGCGATTGCAGCGCCACGGTGGCCGATTGAAACTTGGATTTGTCAATAGCAGCAGCAACATGAACAACAGGAACAGCAGTGGAAGCTTAGCAGCCGAGATTCGTGTAGCCGTGACCGAAGCACCATACAAACTATAGATTGTACGACGAAAAGGTATCCTCAGCCAGGCATGGCAAATCATTTACATGCATTTCATACATTCATTTACATTCATTTGCCTCTAACTTTTTGCATCAACAGTATTCCGCAAAACGATGTGTAGAGCTTTTGTAGGTTTTGTTATTAGCTACAACTTTTGCTCATAACTCAAATCTGTATCTCTTATGCATCACGAACTAGAGCGGGCAGAACTTGTCACTGTTTTTCAGTGAATGTAGTGGCTTCTGTTCGCTCTGGTTCGATTTGGTTTGTTAACAAAAGTTGTAACTAATAACAAAACCTACAAAAGCTATATATGTACATCATTTTGTGGAATACTGTTGAAGAAAATAGTTAGAGGCAAATGAATGTAAATGAATACACGAAATGAATGTAAATGATTTTCCATGTCTGTCCTCAGCATTGCGTTGTTACGAAGTGCTCGTGGTTGAACGTTAAGGTGATACTCTAAGGAAGCCTTAGCGTGAAACTTCAAAGGTACAAATGTCAGCTTCCACAAAACATACAAATTTGAAATTGCTACTCTCTGTTTGTAGTCGATTTGTTGTAGAATAGAAGGGCATTCGATCCTGCCCTGTAGAATGTCTGCCACAAACAGGGCCCTTGTCGTATCTCTTCGACTCCACAAAGAATCTAGGTGAATTAACTGGCAACGACTTTCGTAGCTTGGAAAGCGATGAGGATCTCTCCAAGGCAATCGTCGAAGGGCAAACTAGATGAATCGTCGTTGAATAGACTCTACTCTTTGTACACTGTTTTGGTAATTGGGATTCCATACAGGGTAGCAGTATTCTAACACCGACCAGACAAGGGAGCAGTAAAGCGACTTCAAACACTAGATGTCCGTGAAACTTTTAGTTATCCTGAAAATGAAGCCGAGCGACATATGATAACCTTCTGTGCTTGAAAATGAAAATGAAATAGGGGAAAAGGATGCCCCTAATTTGGGCCCATACATAAATTCAGCAATCGACTAAATTTTCAATAGCGACCAAAAATATCCATTAGTACCGTCCCAATGACGCGTTCTTCAAGATAAAATTGATAAATAGCAGATTTTTAGCGAAGGAGCCAATCTTAGATCCATAGGCCAATATTAGAGCCATTTCCCCTATTTAAACAAGTTTTTAGACCAGCCAATATGGTCTAGTTGTTGCACTACCAGGAAAAAAGTACTTCAAAGGATGAGTGGAGGCGAACCAGCCCAAGGCTGAAAGCCTCCTTAATAAAGCTAAATAATAATAATACTTCAAAGGATTCTGAACAAAGTTCTGAGGATGATTTTCAAGTTGCCTTCCTGGTACAGTACTACCGAGGTACATAGGATTTCGAATGTTGAGACTAGACAAATGTCCATCAAAATAATTAATAATCCTCAATTGCAACGATTAATTCACTTTATATTTAGATAAGATTTAGTTTTAGTTTTAAGATGACAATTGTGAAAATGACATGTAGGTATAGAAAATCACTTGAAAATACTGAATTGCCAAAGCAGGAAAAATGTAAACACAATTAAGGCTGGTAGGTGTAGTGGTAAGCGTGATTGCCTCTCACCCTAAAGGGCCTGGGTTCAATCCCAGACGGCGCTGCCGGGATTTTCTGAGACATAACATCTCTGATCACGCCGTCGTTCGGAAGGGAAGTAAAGCCGTTGGTCCCCGCTATGAGTTGAAGGGTCATAGGTAGGGTCCAGGTGTGGGAGCTGCCTTTCTGGTGTCGGTAGCATTGGTACTCAGTATGGAAAACAAGATCGACGGAAAGATTAAAATGAAATGTAATTTAATTTGAATTTGGAACTAATAAAGAGTTTTAAAAAAAACTTGATTAGGTTCTAGTATGGCACAGGTTCGTGTTTCTTGCAAGATTCTACAATAGGGATGTGAGATTATCACGTGTAAAAGCACACCATTGCCCGCTACTGATACCTAATCTATAAATATATATATTTCTTTATCAAGATATATATTTATATACAGATCATGATGATCCAACGGATAGCTGGTACATATACGATAGGTTCACTGATTTCTGTAGGTATGTAGTTGTGGTTAGCATTTACGGGTCCATCTTTCCGATTGCGACAACTTTAATCACTTTATATAGAGGAACCGCTCCATTCGTTTCCTTTTTAATTAGTTCATTATATTTAGGCTGTAATGTCAATGTTTGCTTCGTTTTCTTACAATCTCTTATTTTGCTTGTATTTTAGTCTTTTCAGTTCACCAATTCCTACTCGATTACTGCCTTGTAAAGTATAGAACTAATCGAGGGCACTCAAATCCTAGTGATTCAAATTAGGGAATAGTTTCGGGTCGATTTGCGCGTTATCGGATATAGAGGAGTAACGTCAATAATTATTCAATATAGATTTTATTCGTTTTCGGGATCGGCTTATTCTACTCTAATAGCTAAAAATAGCATTAACGGGTTAGGTGTAAAAAAGGAGAGCTCACTTGTATATCACAAGGACAAAGACGAATCGATTCATAACGGTTAAAAAGAATTCGACGACAAATGATAGACAAAAATGCAATGACAGGAATTATCAACGAACTTGCAACAGTGTCAACGAATATGCGTTCAGTTCAAAATTACACAGATGGCAACTAGCGAAACATTTTATGAATCTTTAATAGTGGGTTTTTTTTTAATGGGACATTTATTAGAAAAGTGACAAGTACCTATTAGACTGTGGATAAATAACTTACATACAATGATAAAAAAAATTTGAACGAATTAAAATTCGATTTGATAGGATCATGACTGATACTTATTGAAAGATGAGATTTTGATACAAGATAAAATCTAGTGACCTATTAAGGGTATCTGAAATACAGAACTTATAATAAAATAAACTTGACTGTACAAAACGTATAACAACAGCAAATGCACAGTACTCTCGACATTGTAACTGCGAAAGCTACGGATTTGATTCGGTGTTACGAATGCGCATTGTGAAATAAACTGTTTAATTCGTCGTTTTTTAGCACACGAATCGCATCAGTAGGCTCATTTCGAACGCCCTGAACTTAATTTCACCATATGTTGGATACTTGAAATAATGAATGATTTGCTAGGAAGGCAATAAACTGTTTGTAAGCCTCCTCTCGAAAGAGACCATTCATCTTTGAAAAAAAAATACAATTGCTTCAGAACAAAAATAACATTGAACAGCGCTTCAAAAAATCTATAAAAATTTCTAAGCACTAAAGAAACACGCACAATCTATCTCCTCACGTAACTGGTCGGTCGTGGAAGTCCGCTGCGGGCTGTCGGTGGACGCAGGTTCGATGGTTGCCTTAAGCCAGAGGGTTTCGCACCATTCCCACCGGGCGCTGCTGCACTCTTGATCGGATTCACTGCCGTTCGATTTGGTTCGATTAGATTAGACTTCAGTCCTAGGCTATTACCATTATTTACACTGACACTGCCGCTAATGTCTTCAATACTATGGGTCGCGGAATTTTGTACATTATTAGCTATATTTTGACTATCTACACGATACAAGCTTCCTCTAGAGCTAGCTGATGACGATGATAAACTCTGGATAGGGGAAAAAACGAAAAAAAAAAGAATACAAAACATGTGTGAAACTAGGATCAAAATTCAAACCAACTTTAATATCTCTTGCTAAAATAGAACTGTTTACAAAAATTGTGCCATGAATAATTGAATAAACCTAAAATTTTCCGGTTATCATATCTTCTTTCAGAATTTATAGTGTTTAAATAGACACTGTGAGTTTAGGACGGCCTACGATATTTTGACCCAAACTTTCAGTAAGTGAATAAAAGGTCTCTGGCCGATTGAATGATTGTCTTCGAAAACTGTTCCACAAAATGTAATTCCCCAAATGAACTAGGTACCGTTAGGTCGCCATCCACCGCTCACGTTGTTTCCCTTCACCGCTCACTGTATAATTATTTTTCTCTTAACTTGCACATTATAGTAAATGACGGTCAATGATACTACTGGAATTACTTGTAATTATACTAATGGCATTTGTTGAAATTGTATGTAAATAATGATAATACGTATGCAGGAGCGGTGAAGGGAGCACCGCTACCTTACACTACCTAGTTCTTTAAAAAAAAACTGTTAGAGCGAACAAGAATCCCGTGAGAAAACGTTTAATGATCTCTGAAGTCATCAAAAACTGTTTCAGAAAGTATAATCGGTGACAATTATTGTTCTCGCTAATGCACCGACTGGAACGAGACGAAGAGACGCGCAGCGGGAAAGATAGATTGATTAGGTAGAAGGCGACCTGCGCTTCGCAGACTGCGAGGCTGGCGGCGTGCAGCCATGGATCGAGTGGAATGGAGCCTTAGAAAGTTTGTTTACAAATGCTTTTGTTCCGTTATCAAATGTTATGCCTGATATATCGAATTTGCTCTTGATTCAGTTCCGACCTGGATCGGGTATCCAGATTGAGTCTGGCTGCTTTCTGACTAACGTCAGTTTGATCAAGTTGAGCTTCGCACAGTTCGGTTTCGCACCGGATAGAAAACAAATTCGCTAATAGACTAGTGAAAACAAATTCCATGATACTAGCAGCACTGATACGTTTGCATTGAGTACAAGCAACACTTGCAAGTGTTAGAACAAAGAATGACTATGCTTTTGCTTTTCATTATTTCTGTGGAGTAATAATTTTTGTAAACATAAAACAAGCTGGGTTGAACGGCGCCGGTGGTGTAGTGGTAAACGTGATCGCCTCTCACCCCAAAAGGCCAGGGTTCAATCCCAGTCGGCGCCGTCGGGATTTTCTGAGGCATAACATCTCTGACACGTTTTCCTTCGGAAGGGAAGTAAAGCCAGTAAAGGGTCATGAGTTGATGGGTCGATAGGATAGGATTTATATTTAGCATTATCTCCACAAAACATCAAAATTACCTTGCACGCACCATATTCTGAAGTGTTAAGAACAAGCTTGCAAATGCTCATTACAGCTAAAATGCTATTTTTCTGAGTTATGAAGCTATGAGATGTTTTAATGATAATTCTTATTTACAAGATGCAATAAGAGAAGGTAAAGTATGTGTATTACACATAAAACCTGTCAATTAATCTTTCAGAGTGTCACAATAGCGATTAGCTGTAACGATGAGCAACGCGATGAGCGAGCAATCAGCGATCATAAAATTGCTAATTGTGACCTTCTGAAAGCAAAATCGACAAATTTTATACGTCATACACAAACTTTACCATCTCTTCTTGCTTCTTACATTATCATTATAGTATCCCATAGTTTCATAATTACGAAAACTAGCATTTTAGCTCTAATGAGCAATTGCAAGCCTGGTTAAGAAGATTTCAACGTAATCGGAACTGAATGAAAACAATTTAGCTATTTTAAAATTATTTCTTCTAATAGTCGTGTAGACTGAACATCTTGCCTGTTCATAAACTACGTAGACAGTTTTTTGGGATTCTTGACCCCCCCTCCCCTGCGTAGACAATCGCCCATACAAAAATTTTTAAATTTGTATGGCCCGTAGATAATTGTCAACCCCCCCCCCTAAACTGTCTACGTAGTTTATGGACAGCCCCTAAGTAAAATAGATCTGGATACATAATTAATCAAATTTTATTAAGTGAAAAAAATAAAAAAAACGTCCATGCATTCCATATTTTGAAGATTCGATGCAGAGCTGGTAAATATCATGGCCGTCATGTGATGATGAGAAAACACGCCCCCACACTATCACGAGACGAAACTACTTATCATTAGCTTTCTTGTCATTTTTCATTGATCAAGCACTTATGAGAATAATTCTTATGCGGTTTTGACATCAACATTTCTAACTTATTTAGATGAATTTAAGCAAACAACCGTACGTAATCTGTAGAGTGGATATATTATTAAGATTTCCTCGGTACAAGTAACTTTAATAGCATTAAATGAACTAGTAATTACGATGATTACAACACTGTCACGTTCTGTCATGACAAAAAATTCGATAAGATTTCGAAGAAAATCTCTATCATCGTTTTCTCATCCAATATTACATTTGCCAGCCCTAATTCGATGTTTTGGAAGGGAAGTAAAACCGTTGGTCCTGGCCCATGTGTGTTTGAATCAATGAGGTACAGCAGGTGAAGCAGATCGTGAAATATGGTTGTATTAGTAAACCAAAAAATCAACGTAAACGCAATAAGTGACATCACTAATGGCTTGTACCATACATGGGTTTCACTCACACAACTTAACCGATTGCTTCACCTCGGTAATCCAGCTCATTGTATTTGAATGGGTAAGATATTCTACGTAGATGTGGAAGCTGCCTTCCTGCACATTCGATTGCCGTCAATGGATGGCAATCGATGTCCGTCGGTGATTGGCACTAGATTGCTGAACAGAGACCGACGTTAAATAAAGGAATGAAGATTCGATGTTGAATCTCGCTCGGGAAAGCCTTTCCCGATTTTTTTCTGAGAGATTTTAAAGAAATACTTCACGGTAGCCCTCAATCAAAATGATGTATGTAGATAGGAAAGCTTTTGTTGGTCGAATAATCCAAACCAAAATGAGGTTCTCCTCATTTTCCGGAAAGATTGTTGACTCCCAGGACTTCTTTGCTGACGAGTTCTTTAACTTAAAACTTCAAGTACACATAGTAACAGTAATAGAGTACCACTTTCCGACCATTTTAAGCACCTTTACCAGTTACAAAAAGCCGTAAACTATTCCGGCATACCCGGTATACCCTAATATCAGGAGAAGAGAATATTCCCTTTATTGATAAATATTAAGAGAAGGGAATATTGCTTTCGCTTATTTATGAAGTTCGAAACATTTTCACTATTATTAATTGAAGCCTACCACCAATGCATGATTTTGTAGTGTGTGTGTGTGTTCTGATACCGTATGCCCAGGTAAGTTAAAACAAAATCCTACCTGAATATTTGCTGAACCGGACCGGGAATTGGACCATGGCTGCAGCTGCCATCGGCTTGGTAATACCGTGCCTAATCTGACTAGGCTATTTGAGGCCCCTGACTGATTCACTCTATTTACAGATTAGTAGCATCTCCACAAGTGCCACGGAAAGGATAGTTGTGTTAGTGGGTCAGGTTATCTTTGATTTGGATTCACTGTGGTAAATCATACGATCGCTAAAGCAGATTAATGATTTGTATTAATATTTATATCAAATTGGGACACAATTAAAAAGGAAACATAGTAAGAAATATGATGAAAGGGATTGAAAATCTCAATCTTTTCCTTAGAAAGCAGAAACAATATTCCTTAAGCTAGCGAGACCGTCGATAGGAAATATTTGAGAAAAGTTTAAGTTGGTGAGTCATTCATAAACAAAGCTACATATCATAACACTCAGCTCCCTGGATAGATTGTCAATTAATGTCTTCAGCAATTTTCCGCTGGATCATTGAAGATACCTACTTTACAAATTAAATAATAACACCGTCGAAATAATAACAGCAATATTTTTTATCTAACTATTCAAGGGATTAATGCATACACTGAAAACGCCAAAAGATTGCCAATGTAGGGTAATATGAGGCAAGATGGGTAATCCATTTTTTGTCAACATTAACAGGCTTAATGAAAAACCGATGCTGGTTTGAAAAAGCAAACTATCATTGGGGTTGCATTGAACCAGTTGATACTGACTAACAAACAAATTTATAAATGTACTAAACCACCAATCTTGCAACCCCTTACGCTACTTAAACACTCAATTTTGCGAAATCTCACACGATCACGTTTCGGACCACTGTTATAATTTGACGAGAGACCATCAACATATAATTTTACAGTGCTGTCACCTCTGCAGGGTGTGACAAAACAAAACTAAAGGGTTATGGTCTTCAATGTGTGACGGCCCGACGTATCGGTTACCTCTCACGCAAAAGTCTAGTCTCATCCCCGGACAAGTCACAAGGGTGTTGGTGACCATAATATAAAAAAAAATCAGTTTAAACGATCGTTCACTCAACCTACTTTTCAGCCTTATCCCCTAAAAGTAGGCAAAATTTGGCTAATTACCGTATGTGTGTGAAGTCGAGAGCACGGAAAAAAAACTCACATGATTACCAACCGCATCCGGGAGCTACGAGTCGAACGATGCAAGAAAATCTTTAACTTCCTTAAGCGAAAAAATCCGGTAATCCTGTTCACCGACGAGAGCATGTTTACCGTAGATCCCGAATCAAATTCCAGAACCGACCGGTATATTAATTCTCTTCCGGTAAAAGACGTGGCCGACGAGCACAAGAACGTGTATCTGAGCAAGCATCCTGCTAGCGTTATGGCGTTTGGATTGGTGGCTTTCGATGGCAAAAAAATTGACCCGGTGTTCATTCCAGAAGGCGACAAGGTCAACACGGAGGTTCACATCGGGATTTTAGGTAAGTATGTTCTTCCGTGGATCAAAGAACAGTACGTTCCGTAGCCAAATGTTGTATTTCAACTAGATGGGGCTCCGTGCCACACCTCGAACCGCACTCAGAAGTGGTTGCAGGGACATCTTCCGTTCTGGGCGAAGGATATGTGGCCGCCATCTAGCCCCGATCTTAATCCGCTGGATTACTCAACTGGCCTGTTCTAAACGCCACCCGAGTACAGCAAGCCACAGACAAACATTGACCCGTACCTGGAGAGAAATGGATCCACACTACATTATTAGAACCTGCCGTGCATTCCGGAAGCGTGTGGAGGCCGTAATTGCAGCAAGTGGAAACTCGATCGATGATTAACATAGTTTAAGACTCTGAGAAACATCCCCCCGTTGAATAAATAAAAAAAAAAACTCTAAAACGAAATTTTTGATATTTTTTAAATTTTTACATTGTTTAATCAATGGTGCAAACATCATCACGCATACGGTAAAAGAGAAAAGTCGTAATACCTATGTGTTTGACTCCTTCTAAGTTGAAGAACAAAGCTTTCTTATAAAACCAAAATTGGTGAAGTTATTAAAAAAAAACAATTAATTGCCATAAAAACCGTCCGATATCACAAACACTATAAGTTATAGAGTTTTGAAATATGCGTACCTTAACCCTTTACTTCCCAGAAGGTTTTTCGATGTTTTGAGATGCAAATATGTATTTTTGAAAAAAGTTTTTGTTCAAAATCAATAGTATACTAATTATTTTGCAATAGGTACTCAGTCGAATCCCCAAGAATAAATATGGATGAGAATAATGAATACTAGGAGGAGCTTAAACCAGTACTTAAATAGTTAACTGACATTTTCAATATACAGGGTTCCTTGTACCTTGGTTGAATGTGTTATACACAAATAATCAAAAATATCGCAAAATGACAACAAAAATCATCAACGAGCCAAATGATAACGCATTGTCAGTAAAGGCTACAATAATGTCAATATCCTTTTGCGTTTTTTCATGGCCTATGAATCTAAGATTTTGCCCATCGCTAAACATCTGCTATTTATCAATTTTATCTAGATGAACGCGTCTTTGGGACGGTACTAATGGATATTTTTGGTCGCTATTGAAAATTTAGTCGATTGCTGAATTTATGTATGGGCCCACATTAGGGGCATATAGGCCGATGTCACATCCATTTCCCCTATATACATTTTCAATATGCGACCGTGGGTATTGCGTCAATTAAATCAAATTGAAAAGGTTTCTTATCTCGAAGAAGCGATAAAATTTGTTAAAATCGTTATCTGAGGCATGGCGAAAGTATGTTCATCATTATCTAATCAACACATTCAAGTGGTCCAAAATATGTTCCAAACCTGGTGCAAAATATTTTTCCACAAGCGGCTTCAAGTTGAAAAGATGAGCCAAAATATGTTTTGTGGTGGTCAAAAATAAAATAAAAAGCAGGCTTCAGTATTTGTGATATTTCCTGCTTATTTGTTTGTCAAATTGCAAAGTAGAACGATTAGTTTTAGCAAAAACATTCAGCTCTTTGTAATGAGCTGATGAATTAACCATTTATTGTAACAAAATCATACTTTTTTCGAAAATTGTATGATGGCTTCTAAAATACCTTCGTTACCCTACATATTGATTTCTAGTGTTTCAAACATTGAAATGTTGAAAATCTTTCACCATCAATTCAAGTGTATTGCACATTAAATCACACTAAATACTGTTCGGAGCAGATAGATTTGAAGTGTTTTGCATTTCAAAGCGATGTGAAATTGCTTCACGGAAAAAACGAGTCTATGCATTAAATAAAGGAATGGTTGCTCAATAGACAATCGCGTGACACACATCGAGAGTGGTCTGCTTCTGTCGACAGCCGTGTGAACACTGGGAATTTATTTATTTTATATTTTTAGGAAATAATTATATAAGAAAGAAGTGCAGCTTTTAAAAGAAGGAAAAAATATCTCATGAGAGATTGTATGATGTAAATCTCAGAAGAAATTAGTTTTTTTTTATTTGTTTTCCGTGCTGAGCACCAATGCTATCGACGCCAGGGAGGCAAGCTCACACACCTGGACTCTACTATAGACCCATCAACTCATGAACCGGGGACCAACGGCTTTACTTCCCTACCGAAGGAAGGCGTGATCAGAGATGTTATGAGGCAGAACACCCCGGCGGCGCCGACTGGGATTGAACCCAGGCTTGCTGGGGTGAGAGGTAATCGCACTTACCACTACACTACCGGCGCCGCTAAGAAATTAGCTTGACAAGAAAGATTTTTGATGGCAAAATATCTTTCGGCTAAATGATCTATTTGGCGAAATTACCCATTCGGCGAAATAACCTCCCGTGAAAGGACCTGTTGAAAGAGCATTTAACACCCTGTACATAACATAAATTGGATAGATGTGGCAAGAAGACCATACGGGGCGAGATAACCCACCGTTTGTTTGGGCATATTATCTATTAACAAAATCTCTTTTTTTACAAACTTGTTGCAAATCAGTGCTGCAAAATTTCTATAATACACGACGATATTGACAAAACAGCTTTGGTCGCTCATTGGAGCTAAAAGTCATCTTCGTGGGAAACCATGTCAATTGTTAGTGACAATTCTGTCAGTGACGAACATGTACAGTTTTTGTTATTAGCTGAATTTGTAACTAAATCAAATGAATTAAGCAAAACAATTCCATGGAGCCGTTAAAGGGTTAAAGTGAACAAGGATCTATGTCCTAATAATGTGACACAGAATGTACACGTTTTGTTACCAGGTACACTACCGATCATAAGTTTAAGGACACCCCAAAAAACCATACAAATATGTTTTGTTCAATGATCTCTCATTATACGTTCAATTTTCGATCTCCAAAGGTTATTTGAATGGTATGAATGGTATAACATAAGTGTTCTACTACTACTTTTATTTCAAAATTTGGCCAACCCAATTCTGAGAAAAACAGTCATGATTCTTCAGAGTAAATTATGAAAAAATATTGTAACTTTGGGTGAACTTTTAGCACACAAAATTTGAAAATCATATTGAACAATTTGCCTAGGAAGAAAGTTCCATTCAATACCTTTCAAATGATCTAAAGAGAACGAAAATTGGACGTAACATGACAGAGATATGAACATAACAAATTTGTCATGTTTTTTTTGGGTGTCCTTAGACTTATGATCGGGAGTGTAAATCTTTGTCATTGACGAAGACTGAAGGTATCAGTACACGAGACAAATATTTGTCTTAATTTGACAGATACATTAATTGTATCTGTCAAATTAAGACAAATATTTGTCTCGTGTAATAATACCATGAATGAGATTTTGACGATTGAGATTCTTCTAGACAAAAATAATTTTGTCAATATCGCGTGAAGTCTTTCAATGACAATGACAAATCTCGAAGACCGTCACGAATGTATGTGTTTTTGTTTTTCTCATAATGCTTGTGTGAATTCTGAAAATAGCAAGTAACGGTGTCCTAGTAATAACATTTCCGATCAGAAATGGTTTAATTTACACCAAATTGAGGAATTAGAACGAAATCACACATGTCATATGATAGTTATTTGATAATTTTATTTTTGCTCGAATGTTGTTCTACCGTTTGTGTTGTGTATGAGAGACGACGGTAGAACATGAGAGTACGAAAACAAACAGACTGTCACGCACGACAACGAAGCAAGTGTAGTAAAAACGTCAACAGTTTCAACCCCTGAGTTGTGAGTATGAGAATCTCAAGAGTGAGATTATTTGTTGAGGAGTACTCAATGGAAGAGATTTGAGAATGATTTTTCGAACTCTGAGCATAATATTTAAAAATATCTAGTCGAGTGTTGAGTTGAATATTTAACTGACTAGAAATATTCAACAATAATTTATTAATAAGGCTGGTATCACAACTTCTACAAAATAAATTATAAGGGGACAAACTGATAACAACGAAAACCACTCGAAGATAGAGGCAATTGAGTTATACTTACGTTGATTGATTCGGTGTCTGAATCTACGGATTTCTTGTGGGAACTATAGCTAAAGTAACCGGATGAGGGCCGTACCAGTCCTAGCCGGGAAGCCGCTTTTGGTGCCCGCATCTGCACTCCGGATAGATACAAAAACACATAATCAATGTTATTAACACTAGATAATATGTCATCACTTAAGTCGCAATCAAAGTCAATTTCAAAATTAAAATTCAAGCTAAAATAGTCAAATAAAACACACTAAATCAAACAATTTAGAAACAATGATGACACGGAGGTAAACAAATGATAGTTAATACGGAAACGAGGCAAAACGTACATTAGAATTTGTAGTGGTAATACTGCTTGGGTTCAGTTCTCTGCTCCGGGTATTGATTTCGGGTGCAGAATTTTTCAACGTCGCTGCTATTGTTGTACCGGGTCGCACCAGTGAACTGGCACGGGGCGTTCGCAGTAGATTCAACTGCAACTTGGAAGTGTTATTTTTCAGCTATAAAAACAATATTAACACATATTAGGTTAGTCAACGGAAATGAATGCAACAAATAATCGGTATTCGGTCGAGCGGATGTAGGTGAATAATTTAGATTTTGAGATTGACGTGTACTTTGTAGCGCTGCGTCAGCTTTCCTCATACAATTTTGGAATGGTTTCTAGTAGTTCTTACAGATGCAACGAAATACACAATGAACTAATGTCAGCTAAATGAATCAACAAACTAAATAGCATGCGATGCAATTAATTCATGTTAAAATATGAATGATATTTTTATAATGTTTACCAAAAACAAGTCAAATGATCACGATACAATTCAACTCAAACGTCAATCAATTTTCGAACGATGAACAAACCAACTACTCCACTTACCTCAGTATTGCTATTATTGTGCGAAAGTTTCTGCGCGGACAACCCTAGCGGAGTTGGAATCCTGTTTAAATTACTATTCGATCCTCCGTGATTGCTTTGGTTGTAGTACAGATTATGGTACGACTTTGACTTGGTTCCCATCGGTGATTTTAGGTTTGATTGTACGGAACCTGCTGCACCGATCTTCCTTCCAGTGTCACCACCGCCCAGCCTGTTACCACCCAATGATAACCTTGGCTGCTGGTAGCTCGGTCGATCATTTTCCAAATTATCTGTAGAACTTGATTTTGTCGACAACGGAAGGGATAAATCTTTCCTGGCCAAACCAATGCCGCTTCCAAGACCACCGTAGTATCGTGGCTTTGATAATGATCGTACTTTGCTTTCAGGCTTTGGGATACCTTGCGGTCGTTTGAAAACCACCTCTTCAGTCTTATTCTGTTCATAGCTACTGGCGGAAGAAAAACGCGATTCCTTCGGTGAATTGTAATCCACACGGCTAAAGGCACTGGTTGCCACTACTGGTGAACCGGGCAGCTCTTCTTCCATAAGAAGAGAAGCCGATTCGGGCAGGTTGTCCTCCACTTCCTCGGGACCCGGTACAATGACCATTCCTTCTTCACGTCTCTTGTTGATACGGATCGTTTTGAATCGATCGCGGTTCTTTCTATCACTGCTTCCTACCTCGCTCGCAGTAGGAAGTGGATCTACGCTCTCCGTCGCATTCGGTTCGTTCGTTTGCAGCTCCGGTTCATGTAATGACGTTTCTGCACTTCTAAGTGGCTGCGAATTTTGCTGCTGGGGCGACAAAGTAAGGTGGACGTCATCGTTGTATCTACTCCTACGATTCAACAGTCGTTCACTGCCACCGGACGACGACATACTTCTAATCATCGAGTCCGCCAGCTTATTGTCCATTGGAGAAGATGTGGAGTCATTCATTTCCCCTCGTTTCTTCAGTTCATCTTGTTGCTTCTCGGAATTAATACGCGAATGACGTTTCTTGATATTGTCCAACGATTGGCGAAACTTGACACTATCCACCGATCGTTTTACATCGGTAAGCGAGTTCAACATTTCATCGAAGTCCACACCGTTTTGCTCGCTTTCCATGAAAGACTTTTCAAACTCCTCGAACTGCTGCAGTGATATTCGCTTCTCGTTATCCAAGAAGTGTGAACTATTTTCAGTCTTTGAACTTGGAGTACCCGGAAGTCTGCGGAACTCTACATCGAAATCATCGGTTTCCATGGCGATTTCACTTTCTAGATTCCGGCTAAGTCTTGGGCCCTCCAACCGCCTACCTGTATTGGCAGCGATTGGCGAAACATTCACTTCATACTGACTTATATCACTAATACGCTTCACTCTAGGCACTTGCACAAACGGAGTCGATTGAGCGACACCCATCGAATCCCTGCTTCCCACTTCATTGACTGGTACCTCAAATGTCCCGTTTGGAGTATGATAACTAGCACTACTGATCGGATCTGGACTGGCCACATTTTCAAAGTAGGTTCCATTGCTAGGACTTTCGAATGTTCGATTCACCCCGGTAACACCAGAGGAGTCTTTTTCACAGTATTCGTAAGTTTGATTAAGTTGCTTCTGGACTCCGTTCACTTTGGCCGTTCGATTGAGTGAGAATGTTCCGTTGCAATTGTCCGTCGCACCAAAAGTACCGTCCATCGTTTTATCACTAATACCAGCGTTAAAAGTTTGATTAGCCAGCATTGGTTCTCCGCCATCAACTTTTGGTAGTGTATCAAATGTACTGTTTAGACTAGATTTTGGCTTCCTATAAGTGTCGAAGTTTCGCCTCCTTTCGAATGTACTATTCAACTTTGGCCCAACCACTGGTGCAGTTTCCGTAGGCTCCACCTCAAACGTTACATCCGTTTGTTCATTCCCAAGCACCATCGTTACATCGGATAATCGACCTTCTGCACTTTTTGTTACGCTTTCTAACGAATTCTGCATTGTACTAAGCCCAGACAGATTCTCTTCGATTCCATTCAAATCGGTTTTTGATATCGCCAAGTCTTTAGTCAGCGAATTATCATCGAAACACGACAAATTCTCCAGAAATTTACGATCTTTTATCACATCGGCCAACTTGTAGCCATCGTAATTGCTGTGCGAATTGAGCTGAGTATCGTCGCCTCCGTTCGCATTCAGCAAGTAACTAACGTTGGTGAAGTCTCCACTAGTAATAAGACTACTGCCCATCTTGTCGTTTATCGAAAACTCCATCGAAGACATGATGGACCCTGGTGGGGAGACATCGTTTAGCCAGCTCCTTTGCATCATCTGACTCGTGTTTGCCGTACTACCGGGGGTCATAGTTACTGCACCGCCTATTTGTAGATTCAGTAGCGGAGAGGACACCTTCATGGAGGTCTGAAAATGAGACAGATGGTATTAGAAAGTGTATTAATTGATATTGATTGGGATTCCTGGGGTCATTACTTACTTCTTGCAGTGAGGGCGACAGCTCTGCAGATAAATTGGAGACATTGAATGTAGAGTCCAGTCTTTTCTTTGGTCTCGTGAATGTTCGTGTATCGATGTATTTTGAGCCTGTAGGATAGAATAATTTCTGCATAAGTTATCAAATATTGAGACAGAAAATTAAGCATTAAAAAAATCCAGGTAGATAAACGCTTCCACCACTCAATCGGTTTGGAGTCCAGAAGGACTATCCTATGTTGGCAGCTTCAACACTGGATTCCGTTTGTATTGTTTCAAGATAGTTATGGAAAAAATGCTGTGACGTGTGCGCGAAGATACAAACGCGTAGTAATCCGATTGGGTAAGTAAATCCGTTTCGAACGAAATATCTAAATTCGCACGAATTCCGAACGCGAACCGAAGCGAGAAAAAAGGCTTATTATAATTTAAAGATTACCACCAAAATAAATGTGATAGCCTATGCTTACAAGTTGATTAATTTTGGTTTCCTCCCTAGATATTCTACTTATTTATTACTGAGCTTTGTATCAAATTAGTTAATTTAACGGACGTATCAATCATTTCAAGATTACGCGACCGTACCGAACAAATTCTATACTAGATAAGCTCAAAAGCGTTTGACAAGCTTTACCGCATTGCGTATCAATTCTGCGTAAGCTCCGTAGACGTAAGCGCGCTGAATCCGACAGACGCCAAAGGTTTAACCTGCACCAAAACCGCTTAAGGAACGACCTCGAATCAGTAAAACCGTTTAGAACTAAACATCTAAATTACGTAAGATACGAAAATCGCACAAGTTGCGAACGCTGCGCGAGAAAACCGTAGAGAAAAAATAGCTTATTATCACTTAAAGAATGCCATCAAAATATACGAGATAGCCTATGTTGGCAAGTTGATTAATTTTGGTTTCCTCCCTAGATATTCTACTTATTTGACTATTGAGTTTTTTTTTCAAAATAGTTATTTTACCGCACGTATCAATCAAATTCGCGACGGTACCGAATCAAATTCTAAACTACATAAGCTCAAAAAACTTTTGGTAAGCTCTACCGAATTGCGAATCACTTCTGCGTAAGCTCCGTAAATGTAGGCGCGTTGAATTCAACAGCCGCGAAAAGTTAAACATGCATCAATATCACATAGGGTTAAGTTCATAGAATAACATTGACTGCTGTTTACAAATGTAAGTACTTGAACACTAACAAATAAGTTAACTCAAAAGCTTTAACCGCATATATCAGAGATTTCGCGTATTGAGAGAATAATATAGTAATCGAGTACAATAAACTCAATGGAAAACAATACCTACAAAAGATTAAAAGTTATTAATTGACACATACCTCTAATTTGACTTATTTCCTAAACTATTCCTCTCCTTGTTAATCTGCTTAATGCTATTGGTCTGCTTGCGTTTTCTTATTGAAGTTCAATACTAAATAGGAAGATTTATTCTACAACTTTAAAGTTTAGTTGCCTCCCTAAGCGGACCCCCTGCATCCTAATTCTTTTGTTATTAGACTTTCTGAATTTTCTTATTAAAGTTCATTTGATGATTATGATATCTAATTAGTCTAATTTGATAAATAATTGAAATCTCTGATTCACCTAATCAATCATAACCCATGCTTTATTAAGTACCTGCACTTGTGCTTGCAATCTAAAATTAAACGTGTTTTAAGTATAAAGAGAGAGAGAAAGATTAGTAATTTCCATTTAATTCCACTACCTTATTTGCTTATCCTTGACAGATACGCGTATTTCGTCTACAATGTGCAGACTTCTTCAGTGTCTTGTACTAATACCGTGTTTTAAGTACTTTTGACTTTGACCTATTTATTATATCTTAGTTCGACCCAGGTGACACCTTCTAAAATGCTTCATTTTGAAGTGAATGAAAACAATAATGAAAGCTTGTCACGCAAACAGAAGGAGCACTGCTGGGCACTTTCTGAAATATTTCAATGGTATAATTCCCTTGCAAACCCAAATAAATCTATCTGCGTAAAAATAAATAAGAGTGATTTGCGGAAAAACCCGCCAGTATTGCACCTAACGTCAGTGCCTATACGTAAGCGTACTACAACGCGGCTCTCAAACAAAGGAGTAACAAGTGTGATACTATCACTGCTAGACCAGATCTTTGGTTTTCTCATGCAATGGTTCATCAGAGAGGGGAAGCTTAGTAATCCCGATCGCCTGCCCATGGCGCCATTCTATCGCGGCATGAGCCAGCAACGCCGGCCATAAACCTACCGTCTCAGACACTCCACTATAAAGCATGAAATTAAGCCCGCCCACCAGCAACAAGGTGCAAAAACTAGCCAAGGGGAGGGCATTTTAGATAGTAATTTCAAAAGTACATATATACTAAGGCAAAAATGGTACAGGTTTAGAAAGCCCTGAATTAACAAATTTGGAATTGCTCAAAGAACACTAAGTTGAGCGCCGGCGTAAAGCCCCAGTGAGAACGCAATAAAGCCAAATAAGAAGAAGAAGTTTTGATAATTCGGTCAATAACTTTACAGATTTATGTATAAATTATTAAAAGTTCCTTAAAATATAGCGCGTATAAACCCACTGTAAAGTTATACAATTTATATAAATTTAAGTCTTAATATGGTGACCATCAGTATTTCTTTAGTAGCTGTCCAAACGACCTGATTCGCTAAAGTGAGCTGCTGACCGCAATTATTTTTTTAGGAACCACAGCTCATCATCTCACTTAAGTACATGACAAACCTATACCGTCGTTTATAGCAGGGCTCCACTTTTCAAAAAGGACTGACAAAAAAATTACTTACTGATCAATAGCGTCAATAGTAAAAACAAACTTCCAAACGCAATGTAAACATACACTCAAAAAATTTATCACATATCTAATGAATGAAATCCATGTGAATTTCACATAGCTTTCTTGCGATCACATAGCTGCAAATCTCACCACAAAATCACATGATTATTATGAGGCCGATGAAATTCATATGAAAAATCATATAAAATTAATATGATCGCATAAATGTTATGTGAAATTCAGATGAATTCCATTAATTTTGATTATGGATGAAAATCATGTGCGTTTCCAATGGAAGTTACATGAAAACTATTTTCGGTGTAGCGGCTGTATGGGAGAGAGACAACCTACATATGCAATACGATGGCAGTTAAAAATATCATCTGATTATTTCGAGTAATTTGATCAAGCTATATCCTGCTGTCTATGAGTGTGCATTTTGTCGTGGATAATTCTTATTAATGAGACACATCACAAATCACATCAACTCAATGAATTATGTTCAGAACCACCGTTTCGAAAGAAATTTAACCATTGTGGTATTTTACGGGTGACTGGACGTTGACGAAATAAATTTTGGATTTAATTTATTCAGCTTATTATTGTCAAAAAATAAATAACTAAGACGATACTTAATATTGCTGTGTGCTTAGTGTCATAAAAAACACTCAATCAAACCGCTCCTTATCAGTAACGATTGCGGAAATGCGTTTGATACTTTTTTTCATTAACAAAGTTCCTTGTCTCGTTATTGCACGTACAAGGTAAGAGTAGGTAAACATTCGATTTGCTCTTAGGACTTAATTTACGAAGCGCGTGTGTGTCTACACAATCCAATAAATTGTCTTTACCATATTTGTAACGGCGAGCTCAGTCAAACGCATGACTGAGCTCTCGGTTCTGAACGCTTTGTGTTGTATAGGTATAGGTACCTACAAATCGTAGCACAAAAAACGAACATTCAAAACATACAGCCTCCAAGGAGTACAATAACTGAAGTGGGCAGATTGTAAGCAGTGGCATTGCTGGCGACGACGACGCGCTCGAGTAGGCATTGCAAAACTGGTATCTGGTAGTATAGATACCTTCCGGCCTACATCTGCGAAACCACGACAATAATTTTATTGGCAAAAATAATAAAAAAGCAGCAAACTGGCAAAACGGCATTCATTGAAAGTTGTTGTCCTTCTTCTTTCCAAAATGATAGAGAATTAGTTGAAGACGTAGACGCCGCATGGAGCGTGGTGGTGCGATGATTGAAAAAATGTTTATTGCTTTTGAGGAAGTAATTAATATTATAAGCACGATCAAGGATTTTTAACCCCAAAACTCCCCCACCTAAAACCGTCATTCAGACATTGTTTACGGATGATGCGTTTGATACAACGAGGCAACTGAATTTGAGAAATTAGATACCCGTGTTTTGCTTGGTTTTCTCGGGTACCCAGCATATTTTTCCTGTTCATATAGGTAAACGGCTAAGGCCGATACAAATTTATATTTTACTTTTTGCCCTCCTCCCCTTGCTGGAAAACCAGGGGAAAGAAAAAAGATCTTTATTGACAACAGGTAACACCATTGGCCACTTACTGAATAGACCGTTTTACGAGACGTTCTGATGAGCTGATTTTCCAATTCATGATTGTTGATGGCCAGGGAGGAGTTACCTAACCCCTGCAAGATAAAGCCCTACAGTAAAAGTATGGACACCTGACTTCCAATCGAACTGTCAAAATGCACTGCTTTGCTCGATTGGAACAACTTTTTCCAGTTTTCTGATTTCATCCGTCCATACTTTTCCTGTAGGGTTTTACTACGAGAAACAACATCAATAATACCAGTTCTGTCAGACAAATTGGCTCCTGTCCCACACCCCGACATTGTGCCTATACTGATAATCTGATGAAAATGTCTCCACTAGCTCAACCCTATGCTACCGTCGACATCTTGCAACTATAATATCGAAGACAACAAACCAAGAAGATTGGCAACTCTTCAATTTTCTCATACGAACGCTATGAGACAGGTACACGGAAACAAATCCGATTCCATTTTCATGAATAAAAAATCATGAAATGAAAAAACTTACCGTCCCATTGTAACAATGATTCATGATTTCGTCATGGAAATTCATGATTTCATAATGCAGTGGACTACAAGCGTTACACGTACTTGGCAAACCGTGTTCATAAACCGCACTACATAGGTATCTTTTATACGCCTTTTGTCTTCCTTCTTAAACAAGTGCTGATAGTCTAGTGGTCAAAGTATGGGTTTTAATGATCTCAAGGTTCTTGGTTCGAATCCAGTCTTTTTGCAGTTTGTTAAACCCATGAATTTAGCTCATGATTTCAACTCGGATGATTCATGATTTTGGAAATGTTTGCTGCGTTACGCAAAAGTTGCTCATGATATCATGAATATTATTCATGGTGTATTTTCATAACATAAAAATACGCTGTGTTCATGAAATCATGAGTCATTTTTCTCATTTCGGAGATCGGGTTTTTTTCCCGTGTACAATCGCGTCATCTGCCGCTCAAAGGTAAATGTTTCGAACGAATTTGATAGCAAAGATTACATCCTCAGAAGAAGGGTTTGTGTATTTGCTCATTTTTCTATGCGTTGCTTCCACCTTCACTCAAGCGCAGCGCTACTGTATCTGTCGCTTGGATTCTGGCAAAGTTGCCAGTCTTCTTGATTTGTTGTCTTCGATAATATGTAGGAATGTGCATATAAGCTTATAAGAAATGCTACCAGATTTTTCTGGAGTGCCACCAATTTTAAGAAAATGTTCCATAAAGAAGTAGGGGAATTTACGTATTCTCGGCAACCTAAGCAGCGACCTTCTTTCTATAGCCTTTTTCTCTATGGAACGCACACATATGCAGTATTGGTTTGTTTACAATCTTTTGCTGCCAGCTGCTCTAACAATTTCAGTCGAAAGAATTGTCAAAAACTGTTTTGAAACGCTTTTACAAAGCTCCAATCTTCTCTAGTGAGAGCGAGTATTGTCGGCAACCAGTTTTTCTTCGGCAACCGTTCCATTTGAACTGCATGTAAATCTGCTGTTCTATTATCGGCAACTCGAAATCAGCTACAATTTGTAGTGCGTGTGTTTCATTTCAAGAAAACCTTGCTAGATTGCTTTTTCTCAGTGGTAAAAATATAGTCAAATTGAAGCTGAATGCATAAAGAATCGTTTGCATGCATTCAGCGAAGTGTTTTCGTAAAAAAATCCAGTGAAAATAGTGTTTCAATTTGGGTTGCCGAAAATAGTCTGTCATGCCGAAGCCGTCATTTCCCCTATGTAATACAGATTACAGAATTTATTTTAAATATATATTTTTGTCGAAGAAAGCTAAGTATTGACAACATCTCTGTCAATTCTTCTGTCCATAAATAAAATGTTTTTTTTTATTAATATGCATCCTCAGAAGTGACGATGCCTTTGATGTAAGCTTTCTGAACTGTTAACTAGTGATGCACCGAATAGTGCTAATCGGTATTTAAAACAAAATATTAACTGGTATTAGCTATTTCCCAACTAACAAGTGGCGGACAATGTGTTTGAGCGAAATTTGGAGACTGAAAAGTTTAATATTCGCCTCTATGGCGGCTCGACTATGTCGGCCGAATATTCGGTCAGCCATAATACTGAAACTGTGAAATGCGTGTCAATGCTGTGACACAGCACCCCTGTCTCGTTGCTGAGAAGCGAACTTGTTCACAGCATCGCCAAGCATTTTGCAGGTTCGATTTTGTTTTCCTCTGTTCGGGACCAGTAAATTGATCTATTGTAGTATATCCCGTGTCCTTAGTTTAGTGCATGTCGTATTACTCCATCACTATTGAGAAATGATGAAGTATTCGATTTTTTTTACAGTTGTCATTCGCGCATATATCGCAAGTATCCGACTCTAATTGAAAGGTCCCGCTATTTATACCCTTCGGAGTGTTGAAACACCCTCCAAAGGCGCGCCCCTTTGTCAGTCAAAATTGGATTTCAGGTTCGATATTACGCCAGTTGAAATTGAGTTGTTTATGTCAACGTGCAATGATATGTTATATTAGAACACAAGGAGGCAAAATATACTTTACAATTTGTTTTTCAAACTGGCAAATATTTACTGGATTATAGAGATTTGTGCGCTAATTGTCGTAACACGTAACACAAACCGAAAGTGACTAACTGTTTTGCTTACAGTGTATTTCCAAAACACTCGAAACAGACTTAACACTTGAGCGGCGCCGGTAGTGTAGTGGTAAGCGTGATTACCTCTCACCACAGCAGCCCTGGGTTCAATCCCAGTCAATATCTATCACCGAGATATTCTGAGACATAACATCTCTGATCACGCCTTGCTTCGGGGGTCGGGGGAAGTAAAGCCGTTGGTCACCGGTTCATGAGTTGATGGGCCGATAGGTATGGTCCAGGTGTGGGTACTGCCTTCCTGGCGTCGGTAGCATTGGTGCTCAGCACGGAAAACCAGATCGACGGAGAACAAATCGAGGAAAAAAAGACTTAACACTTACACTGATAGGCAAAATAAAGTGCCCTCCCCATAATTTTTTGAATTTTTTTTTATTTATTTGGATCAAATTAAAGTAAACACACTGTTATTTTTGTTTTGTATCTTATTTTTATATTCTTTTAAAGTTTCACCTATGGAATACAAAAAAAAACTGCCTACTTCAAAAATCGATATGTTTTCAATAAGTTTCTATCGGAATTTCAGGCTCTTCAATATTAATAACATTGGAATGCAATAGTTAGAGCACGTTAGCGGCTCAATTTATTCGAAACCCAAAGATGCATCTTTCGTGCATGATCCGTTACACCAATTTACAGCTTTCAAAACGATGAGACGGTGAGAATTGAGAAACTTTACGAGAGTGAATTAGAGCAAAACAATGCCATCCGAAGATCATAGATAAGTGCAACCATCAATCAGAACTACCTCTGATCCACCCGACGAAACCAAAAATGCAACCGGAATAACTGTCTACTTATGATGTAAACGTTTTTGACATCACGAAACTTACCTTTGCTGTCGCTATTGTTAAAAGTAGCGTTGTGAGTGCTGTAGTGGTGATTGGTACTGCCAGAACCGAAGCTGCTGGAGGCTGGTGGCGTCTGTACTGGAAGGACGCCACCGCTTGACGGGACTGTGCTGCATGATTTCCATTGTTTGAATATTTCCACCACTTCATCGTCCAATCGTTCCGTGTCGCTGCAGATGTTGCAAAAAAAGAGAGAGAGAATGGTAAATTGGTTAGAAAATATTAAAAAATTACGTTACACAGTGATTCGTTGCATGTATATATGGAAGGTAGGCAACATGGAAGCCGTTATTGATGTAGAGGGCGCAAATGAGGCAAACAGAAAGACCGGCAAACGAAACCATATTCTCACTGCTGCGGTTGGCCAGGCTGGAAGGTAATATATTAAGACCATAAGAAGCGCAGAGGATAGCAAAAATCGATCGCATGAAAAAGAGATTAGTGGGCATTTGTATGCAAAATAAGCGGAAAGTGTTGAAACTGACCAGCAGATCCAAACTGTTCAGGGTGAACTACTAATGAAATTGCAAATAAATTCAATCAATATTGCAAAGGCTTTTAACGATTTCAAAGTAAATGTTGTTTTAATGATCTTGGTAATGTTTAAAAACTCTCAAAATTTTGGGAATTAGAAATAACCTGTAAGCATTTATTGTTCAGTCAATATTGAAGTAAAGATGATTTTCGACAACACTAAATTTCTGGGTTCTTCAATTAGGCGCGGAAATATGCCCCATCTATCAACTAACATGCTCCCACAACAACGAGACTGTATGCTCTATTGCTAAACGGATAGTACACCACTTACCAAAAGTGTGACATGCCCCAGAACATTAATTTTAGATGCCTCATACATACAGCACAAAGATGGAATAAACACTTTCTTAAATATGCTTGCCAAAATGGTGTAAAAAACTACACCGAAAGGGTGCTTTTAAAGATGATATTTTTATTATTTAATTACGACAATTGACACGTGTGTAACTTGCACAGCAGAGTTGTCCCATTAAATACTTGGATTGGCTTGGATTGCCCTGTCTTGTAGTTATATTAAGCCTGAATTCGTAGAAATGCAAAGGGAGCATTTTGTCCAGGGGATGTTTTATACCTTCCAACCCTCGACCAAAACTTTACTCATTCTCGGAGTATATTAATAGACTGAGTGAAACCTCTCTCGAATTTCCTCATGTTCAGAAAAAATTTCCTGGAAAATCGAAGAAAATTTTACACAGTCTATGAGTGACCTAAGTTTTTGCAAATTTGAGTATACAGAACTCAAATATCAGTCAGATTCAACGGCCGTGCATTTGAATAAATTTTAGACTGACTAACCTATGTTGGCAGTTTGAGCACTGTTTGCACTAGCGTGCGCAGCGTGCGTTTTAGAAGTCGGAGAAAGGGGGGGGGGGGGGTAAATCCCATGTGTATCAATCGTGGTGCTTCAAAGGCCCAAAAACAGTTATCAAACAAAATAGCTAAGTTAAGGGATCAGTACCATAGTTGTTTGCCATCCCTGTTACGCACGCTAGTGCTGGTTTGTGAATATTGTTTCAAAATAGTAATGGAAAAAATTGCGAACGTGACATTTTCCACTAAAAAAATGTAAATTTTTCCGGACTATTTTTTTATAATGGCGTGTGTATTTTTTTCCCTTGATTTGTTTTCCGTGCTGAGCACCAATGCTACCGACGCTAGGGAGGCAGCTCCCACATCTGGACCCTACACAGCAAAAAATTAATTTTAATATTACATCCAAGAGGATGCACTTCAATCATGTCGAAAATCTCATTTAATTTGTATGGCCACAACAATAAACAAATGCAGTAAAAGCAGCGTAATGTCAGTTCATGCACTGTATTGATGATAATTTTGTCCTTTTTGGCAAGTAATATTACACCATATTTTCGACACGATAGAAGTACATCCACTTTGATGTGATATTAAAATTAATTTTTTGTTGTGTACCTATCGACCCATCGACTCATGAACCGGGGACCAACGGCTTTACTTCCCTTCCGAAGGGAGATAAGAGGAAAGATGGAGGGAAGATGTGATGCCTCAGAACATCCCGGCGGCGCCAACTGGGATTGAACACAGGCCTGCTGGGGTGAGAGGCAATCACGCTTACCACTACACCCTGTCCCTTCTTTTCGTGGCTTTAAAGAATAGGGTGATCCCCGAATTAATTGATATTCAAAAACTAACTTTCTTATATTTGAAAATAAAGACATATACTATTCCGTAAAGTTGTAGCTGAGTTAATTTCAAGCAAACTTGTTGAAAAAACTTATTTATTCTGTCACTTAGCGTTTCAGTTTTACATGATTTTTTTCGGTTTCTGGCTCTACATATTTTGTTTCAAATTTCTCGTGAATGTCATCTTAGAGTACTTTTAGAACTTGTTAAAATACACTTTTTTGTCGAATAAAGTAAATCGATATCTCTTAAAGATCACGCGATATTGAAGCGGTTTTAATTTTAAAATGTGTCCTTTTTAAATGTTAATTATTCAGCATGGGCCACCAAAGAACACCGAAGACACCAAACATCGAAATATATATACAAAAGTTCTAGAGGACTACTTTCCTGCTAAATTTCCATACCGGACCACGTAATTTAATCAAATGTAGTATAATTAATGCATTACCATCCATGCCATCTCTAATATCTAAAGAACGTTCAAGTAAAGAAATAAATTAAATTTGGTGTTCGATGGATTTTATAGAAAGCACTTGTTGCCAGAAACGGGAAGACTAAATCCAGTGATATTATTTTTCGTTGCTTGATACACAATATGCAAAGTAGACTTAGAAAGCCCTCAGCTAAGAAAAACTATAGAACGAAGCGCGTAATGTTCCAATTCAGACGTATGCAGCCAAGAATAATTTATTCAAACAAATCATCACCAACATTGCAGACGATTTAAATTGAGAAGTATTTGTAAATAATGACGACTTCAATCATTACTTTTAATGCTTTTACACCCACGAAATACCAACACTATCAGAGAGGAAAGAATGACTCATTTACCAGTTGGTGTTTGCTAGCGTGGCAGGCATATGCAATCAATTGATGTTATTGTTTACGATAGGAATATCGGTTACTTGAAATGTTGGAGCCTAGAAATGCAGGATAATTAATTAATACGAAGTCTATAAAATACATGTTTGATACTTTCTTTGAGCAACATAAGACTAATCGTGTATAACTATCATATGTGTAGTTTCCTACGTGAACCAAAATATTAGAGGTTGGTAATTGCTCCGGTTTCCCATTCCAATACAGCAATAATTACGGTCTATCGAAAACGAATGTTTGAAAATAAAATATAAAAAAAACTCCAACAGACAGTCATTCACGCATCGAATGAGCGCGTGCGAAGAATATCGAGAATGTTGCCGTTTGTTTCAATGGGAAAACACTCACACAGATAGGCCTAGTGGTAAAAAAATAACATCCTCTCGCACTTGCACTTTGTTGTCTCGCAAACAATCTCAACGCACACTCGAAACAAAGCTAAGAGAAAGAGCACTTTTTAATTGCCATTTTGGATGGCTACTTGATGACAGCTCTCGTCGTCTTCCTCTTGGTTTATCACCTTCTAGTATACTATGTTACTAGCGTAATGATACTCTACAAAACGGGAAGACAAGATAATTTGCAGACCCAAAAAGACACTTAGATTTAACTTATAATATTAAGCTTTATATTTGCATAACTTTACTCATCTTTAGTAGAACATTAAAATTAATTTATTATTAGAATACAGCTGGCATTGAGTAAACATAAAAACTACGGAAACAAATTAAAAAAGTTTCACATTCAAAATCGTCAAAAAAAAATCCTGAAATTAACCACCTATGGTGAGATTTGACCCTTCTTACTTATTTAAATTCGGACAAAATTGCATAAGTCCGCATTCAGGGAAGAGAAGTAAGATAATTTCAAAATGATATGAGGGTGTGTTCGATTGTTCTTGCGAATCGTTAGACTCATGGCGATCACAAGGATCACTTGGAACCTGCCCGGTGCAAATGATCATATATTTGAATGTTGATGTAATTTTAATTTAATTTACTTTGATTGAAAAATCACGGACCTAGACAATTGTGTATGTGTCTAGGTCTTCAACCTAGACATGGCTTCAAAGGTTTGTAAATTTAATGTCTTTGAAAAAATGGCGAGAGCTTGAAAATTTTCCAAGACCATTTTTCGACATCTTAGGCTAGGAAAACTTTCAAGATCACGAAGTAGAAAAGCCTGCATATTGGGTTTAGAGATTTTTTCGAAACCTCAGATAATTTTTTATAGGACTTTGAAAATGTCGCGATCACAGGAAAGGGAAAAAAAAATTAAATTTTATAAACTAGACAAATTTTGAAGAAAAATATTGACGATTCAGTCAGCATCAATTGGACAATCAACGTTCCAGTCTGTTCGCAACTCTTTTGCTCAGACTTTACACGCTGATTTTTAATTAATCTTTCTAACAAAAAATGTTTGCCAAATCAATGTGATTTTTTAAAGGAAAATTCTTTATTCTCAACATTGGTCGGAAAAAAGTTACTTTAGTGTCTTTTTAAGAAATAGTGACTTGAGTGTCATTTTGGTGAAAAAGTGAGTCTTTAGTGACTGACATGAAGATAGTGACCTGCTACCAGCCCTGCACATGATGCACATGTAAACCCTATGATTAATTGAATGAAATTAGTCTTGTTCAAGCATACTCGTCTTACAATGTGCTCTTCGACTGTATCCAGCCCACGGATACCACATGCCGAAAGCAATCCTTAGCCGATGTGCTCTTGGACCGTTTTCCAGTTTTCCAGATACCACTGATGGTTATCGGCTAAGTCCGCCTAGAACATTCCGCTTCTGGAAGATTTCTACCTCGTGAATCGTGATAGAATGAAATGATCAAAGTGAGTATTAGTAACTGAATTTTTTTTTTTTTTTTTTTTTTCCTTTGGTTTGTTTTCCGTCGATCTTGTTTTCCGTGCTGAGCACCAATGCTACCGACGCCAGGAAGGCAGCTCCCACACCTGGACCCTACCTATCGACCCATCAACTCATGAACCGGGGACCAACGGCTTTACTTCCCATCCGAAGGAAGGCGTGATCAGAGATGTTATGCCTCAGGACATCTCGGCGGCGCCGACTGGGATTGAAC